ATATATATACAGTTTAGTTTATGATTCAGCCTTGGGTAAGACTTTTATAGTCTATGGCTATGACGCCCGTAATGCTAAATGGGAGCAAATGTTAAAAGGGACCCAATTATCCCAGTGGTGGCCGCCAGAGTCCGCCGCCGGAGCTAACAGAGCCGCAGGGGGCTAGCTAGCTCCCTGCGGCTCCGTTAGCTCCGGCGTCCCGGCGGCGGAGTCCGGCGTTATAACTGGAGATCAAGGAATGCAGCAAAACGCGGACTTGGTTCGCCTGCAGCCCGCTGTAGTATTAGCTAAAGAAATTATGTTGAACAAGGCTTATTAAGTGAGCATGAGCATATGAGCATGTTAGCCTAGCTTGGTAGCTTCAGCTAGATCGGGAGCTTGGAGCCCAGCCTTGTGCTTCAGCAGCAGGTCCCGCCTCTTTGCCATTATTTGGATCAGGCTGGAGCAGGCGGGAGTTAGACTCTGAAGTCACTGTCGAGCCGTTAGTGGCCGACTCCGCCTACTTTAGGCTTCTCGGCCACTCTACAGAATCCTATGGGTGACGTCACGGACCCTACGTCCCATTTATATATACAGTCTATGGTTATGACGCTGGAGGTGGTCGGACCAAAACCTCAGTCCAGACGGACCTGGTGGAATCCTGGGGTTAGAGGGCTGCGCCTATACTCATAGAGAGGCGAAGTCCCTCCCTTTCCGGTGGACCTCCATGGGACCGTATTTCGGAAAAATTATGTATTGAAGTCAATGGCGAGAGAAAAGTTATCTTTCGATCCCGTTTGAATTGTGCCACGAATTACACATATGATGTTTGTCAATTTAAAAGATAATTTTGCAAGTTTAAAAAAAATGTTTTGCCTTAAAACTGTGAAGTAAGACTTTTTTTGTGTGAAACCTCTCACAGTGGCCGTCACTACTGTCTTGCCAAAGGGATTGACTACCCTCACTATCACCACAATGAAACACGCCCAGAAGAATGTCATGCAAAGCTGCCTGCCTGCCTTCCTTCGATTCTCCCTGAACTGCCTGATCTTTTTAATGTTCAATGTTAACCATTTGTGCAGATAGCATGAAGTAGAAAAGATCGCCGATGCTAATGTAGCGTTAGCGTTTCTCCCCCGGGGGCATCCGGGCTTAAACGGTGTATTATAGAATGATCACACCTACAGTACTCTTCAAAGGGTTCACGAAATATGACTACTACTCTTACTGTTTAACATTTTGGGTTACTTAAAGGTGGGGTAGGTAATTTTGGAGAAACCAGCTCGAGTGCGCTAGAATTTGAAAATACACAACAGAAAAAAATCTGCCACTTCCTTACAGAGCCCCTCCTCCAACACACACAAACGCGCACATGACCAATGAGGGCACGAGATAAGTTTGTGCACAGATGGAAGGCTGACAGGCAGGTAGGCCATCCAGTTATTTCAGCCGGGCCGGCTAAAATGATTGGTCGTGCTTTTTACAGTACTACGGCTTCCACAGATGATATTTTTTTATGGATTTTTTGTCAAAGCACTTAAGATATTCATTGCTATCGGGATGTTAAGAGCATTCCATGGAATATAACAAAAAGTGTATCTCGAGCCGGTTTCTCAAACTTACCTACCCCACCTTTAATGTTACTTCATCTTAAAGGGCCCATGTCATGGCCATTTCCACTGATCATAATTACATTGTTGAGGTATACTAAAATAGATTTATACTGTGCAATTTTCCAAACTCACATTGGTTTCGCATACAGCATCTCTGTCAAGCATGTGTATTCAGCAGTATTCACTTTCTCCACTAAACGACTCGTTGGAGCTCTTGCCCCCCCCTCCCTGTGAGCCTAGTGTGCTCCGATTGGTCAGCTCGGCCACTCGTTCTGATTAGTCAACCACCAGAGAGGCTGCGCCCATGTCAGTGCTTTTCCCGGCTGCTCTCAGCGTAACATCAGTCTTATCATGGCGTCGGTACAGCGGTATATTTTATATACATATATATTTTTAACTGTTGTTATAGAAGAGTGTGACGGCCCCAGGGCCTTTGTCTTACGATGGGGTGGAGCTGAAGAAGCTAATCAGCACGATCACGGACACCTCCGGACACTACGGCCCCAGTCTCTCTCCAAAGCGGCTGCAGGAAGACTAACTCTGCGATCCTCTCAACCACCTATCTTTGCATTTACCACAATAAATGTGCCGTGGTTTTGTAAACTCGTGTATGTCTCCTTGTCTTTCCGTTGTGGCCTACGAGCTACTCTCATAACAAAGAGTAAGTTATTTTTACCCGTTATAAACTACTACTGTTTGATGAGAAATCAAATCATGGTTTGCTATATATGAATTCAGGGAAGAAAGGATAGGCCTACTAAGTATTTCCATTAAACTTTATTTTTAGAAATGTACAAAATGAACATAAATATACATATATACACGGTATATCATCCATTCCTCCTCCTCTTGCCTGCGCACAGCCGGTGCGGTGCGGTGCCATTTAGCACGAGGCCTCAGTAGTAGTAGAATCCCTTCCCCGTCATGGATTGTCCGCCAGGATCTGGCTGGACGAAATCAAATGCAAATCACAAAATATTAGAGAAACTTAGTTGTTTTAGATTCGTTAGTAGTAGTTGTGTAATGAACAGCTTGCCTGCTAATATGCTAACCTAGCTTTGTTTACCTTGGTAGCTAACACGATATGAACGTTAGCTTGGAGGAAAGGCAACTATAATGCAGTGTAATAAAACTACTATGAACAAAAGCTAGTGGTTCATATTAGGCTAGCAATAACGTGTTTATAATTGCAATCGTATACGGGTATTCTGCTACCATACAATGTAACTTGCATGAATACATTGTTTTGCGCTAGCATACAGCTAGCCTCGTTAGCTACATGCAGTATATGTACGGTCACAATGTACGGTAAACCGGAGTATACTGTATGAGTATTTCCGTGTGTGTGACTGCAGACATTCTCCTGCCATGACAAACATGTAAGGCCATCTGCTGACATTGTAGTTGATATATTTAAACGCTAGCAACGTAGCATCACAAAAATGTTTTTCTGACCAAAACTAGCTCAAGCTCCGTGTGTTAGATCGCTACGCCAGCTATAATGTAATTACGTTTCGCGACTGACCGGCAAATCACCCGCAGTATACTGTCAATAGGTATTTTGTGTGTGAATGCAGACATTCTCCTGCTATGAGATACATGTATGCAAGGCCATCTGCTGATATTAGAGTTGATATATGGAAACTCTAGCAACTTAGTTAGCACAGTTAGCACTGTGTCAATGGCTTAGCAGTCCAACACAGTTTACACATTTAAACAGTCTTGTTTGATAAATACACAAATAACAATGCAAACTTACAGGTTGTATACCCAGATCTTCCCCTGCTCCAAACGGTCCAAACAAGCTGTGCATATCCGGCCTCAAACTGGGCAATGTTTTTGGAAGCTTTCGTCTGTGAAATGCCGGTTCTTCGAACCTCTGGAGGAGGAACACGCCGCTGCTGGTGTGGCCATAGCTCTTCGGGATTGGTCCATTTCGTTCCGGGTACCGCATGACATCAGGCGGTACCCGGAACTAAATGGAAGACTCAAATGGGCAGTGACGTATCTCCAACGAGGCGTTTTGGGGAGGTATTTTCTGTGTTAGAGTTTTACTCGCTACAGGGTGTACTTTGAGGGTTTTGACTCTGCACACCGTTTACATGCATAAAAACCTTCATAACACACAAGGGGACGGGTAATAACCGGAAAAGCATGACATGGGAGCTTTAAGGCTAATACAAATGACGGGGCTAAGGCTGTAATAGAGTGGCGAAGTCCCTCCCCTTCCGGTGGACCTCCATGGGACCTTATTTCGGAAAAGTTATGCATTGAAGTCAATGGAGAGAGAAAGATTATCTTTCGATCCTGTTTGAATTGTGCCACGAATTACACATATGATGTTTGTCAATTTAAAAGATAATTTTGCAAGTAAAAAAAAAAAAAAAAGTGTCGTAAAACTGTGAAGTAACACATTTGTTTGTGTGAAACGCTCAATGAACTACATCTCTGGTCTCGCACAACAACACACGTCACCAAGATGGCCGTCACTACTGTCTTGTCAACAAAACGATTGACTACCCTCACTATCACCACAATGAAACACGTCCTGAAGAATGTCATGCAAAGCTGCCTGCCTGCCTTCCTTTGATTCTCTCTGAACTGCCTGGTCTTTTTAATGTTTAATGTCAACCATTTGTGCAGATAGCATGAAGTGCAAAAGATCACCGATGCTAGCGTTAGCATTTCTCCCCCGGTCTTAAAGTGTGTATTATAGAATGATCACACCGGTGACAGTACTCTTCAAAGGGTTCACGAAATATGACTACTACTCTTACTGTTTAACATTTTGGGTTACTTAATGTTACTTCATGTTAAGGCTAATAAAAATGACATGGCTGTAATGCTAACTAACGTGCTAGCTACTAGCTAGGTAGCTAACTTGATCCAGACACTCCTGGTCCTTTCATCAGACGGGAAGCGAAAGAACGAGCAAGACCCATTGCTGGTATGATAACAACCTGGTACTAAGCACACAGGCATCTTGTTAAAGTTATCTTATCTTAGCCAGCGCCATATAGATAGATTATATCTCTATGGCGCTGATCTTAGCTATCTCTTAGTGGAGGAAAACAATTGTGACATCACTTACGCGACTCTGGAATTTGTAGTCTTTCTTGTTGCATATTTTTCAGTCTTATATTTCAACAGTTTTACGACAAACTGTGACTTTTTTTGACATGGAAATGATTTTTTAAGATTGACCTAACATCATATGTGTAATTTATGGCACAATTCAAACGGGATCGAAAGATACGTTTTCTCTCGCCATTGACTTCAATACATAATTTTTCCGAAATAAGTTACGTAACCCCAGTTATTTAGCATACCGGTCTACCTTCGAAAACACAATGCATAACTACCAAACCTAGCCTATTGAGCATTCCGAAGTTACAGCGGTTTGCTCACCTTCAGAAGATGGTTATGGATGATCTGTTTCAGCTCGGAGGCTCTCTCCGGAGAAAGGGACATCACTGCTGAGGAGTCCGGGAGCGTTCTGAGCACAAATACCTAACTACCTTTTTAATAGTGTACAATAAGTAACGATACGCGTGTGTTTGAGTAATATCTCAATCCTTGTAAACATGTCTCGTCTGTAACATAGTCAAATATCTATGACGGCAGCTGCCGTAGTTTTAAACTGTGGCGGAACAGGAAGCGGGAATGTGGCTCCACGGAAGCCTGGCAGAGTCCTGAGGACAACTGTCGCTTTCAACTACTCTGTCTTAGAACAAATACATAATATACGTCCATTTTGATATCACTGACCAAATCATTTATGTTAAGTTACGTCTGATTTAGTTTTATATAATTTCGGTAGAATTTTGTTCCGCTCTTTTATTCAGGTATTGTATCAGTCGTCCTATTGTTTTGTAATCTGTGAGGACCCCTTTGTAGTCAAATTGTAGTGCACCTGTTACTTGTTTTTTCACTCATTAAGCTACAAGTTTTAAATTAAGACGATTTAAATGATTCTTACTCTAAACTTTACTTACTAATATAGCCGTTTTGTTTATTTTTTCTAGTAATAGTATATAGAAATCGGAAGTTTTTTTTTGTGGATAGACCAGTAGGCCTACTCCACATATGCAGATGCCAGTCAACAGACAAGAGAAGATGAAATGACTACAGTGGTCAATATGAGCAAGGCCTCTTCTTGAACTATTGAATCATTTCCTGGAATCCATGTTGAGGCCTCCGGTCGGGCTGCGTTGATTTAGCTCATGGTCAGAATTAAATTATGCACGGCACAGCAGTGCAGGGAGCTGAGAGCTGATGGTGGACCCAGAGTTAAAGAAAAAACACAAGCAGACAGCATGATTTGGTAAAAAAGATGCATGTTTATTTTAAGAAGTATTTCATGTTTGTTTGCTTTTTTTTTCGTCTTCAAAAGCCATCTCTCATGTTCTCACTGCAGCTCAGCAGTGTACAAAACTCCCCTGAAATCTTATGTGGAAAACAAGAATGAATGGAATGTTATGATCAAATGTGTCTCTTCTGGGTTAAATAAGAACTAAGTAAAAGCCATGTCCATCAGTGGTAACTAGTAAATTAGCAACACACAATTTCCTCTCAGACATCAGTACATGCTAATGACACATTAGGTCTACAATCAACTCAAACCTCAAGTAACTACAAACCCGTCAATGCAGTGCTAACATGTTACTCATGTTATGTGGGATATTATTCCTCACATTAACCTTAATCTGTATACTAGGAAACCTTGGAGCACACATTTTTTTTCACTTCAAGGCACATTAAAAGCTCAACCAGCAAACAAATAGATACAAACGTGTATGCTATCACTCTTTCCTAACTCAAATTTTATCCAAGGTTCTCCACTACAACTTCTAAATTGCACTATTATAGCTTTAGATTGGTCCTAGTCAACGGAAAACAAATGATGACAAGTGATGATTCTACCGGTTCAAATTAAGAAGTCACACACAACGTAAAGCTAATATGAATCATTTTGTAATGCAGTTTTGTCAGAAATCCAACGGACAACACATTCCACATGGGAGTACAAGATTTCATCACTGAACAGCTTGCCTGGCTGTTACCGTCCAAAAAAGGACAGCCTTGCTTTGGTTTCCATAAAAACAACAGTGGGACAACATGAACATACACACATGAACCCATCCAGTGGGTAAATACACACACTAAGCGGTGAGGGACCCGACAGCTTATATGATCCATGTGACAACCAAAATCTGTAAAAAAGGTGCTCAGAACAGAAAATAATAAGATTAACATTCTAGCAGAGTTTGAAACATCAGCAAGGCAGCTCCCTATGAAGTGTCCAGTCACAAAAAAATATATATCTGGCCCTATTGGGATGCCCTGCTTAATGTGAATGGAAGAACAAGTGGGGTGCTCTGGAAAACTTCTATATGCATGTCTGATATGCACCTTTCACTACAGAAAAACAAATGAAGGAAAATCACACAGCTGACCTATAGGAACTGGAGTCTTCTTACATATCTATGGTAGGATGGACAATCAACACAAGTCATTTTATAAAGCCAATTGTAAAACGTGTCCACAGATGATCAACACAAATCTGACCATCACAGATAACGTTTTTTTTTGCTTTGTACTGCACCTTCAATAAGTTTCTTCCAAAGATACAGTACATTCATCGAGTGACAAGAAGAAAAGAAAATGAAATCATCGTGCTGGCACCAAGATCCTGAGATGTTACTAGTTTGTTTGATCTTACATGAAAAATATACACACAATCATTTGATCTAGCGCTCCCGCATTTTGACCGTAAGAAATAAATACCCTCAGTTATGCACATTTTACCATCTACATCTACTTAGAGAAGTACCTAATCCCAGGTACTGGTGCAAAATAGGAGTCAGTTTAAAGTGACCCAGTGTTTCACTGGGCGTACATCCAGACCACCAGCAGGCCCACAGCCACCGCTGCCCCAGCCCCCACGTTGAGCAGGATGGGTCTCCAGTATAGCCATTTGTCCCGTTTCCTCTCCGAGTCGCTCAGTCTCTGTTTCATCTGCTGGACCTTCTGGGAGGTGCTGGCGATCCTCTCCTCACGGTGTCGCTTTCTCACACTGAAACAAGATCAAGGTAACAGTAGGAAGTCAGCTTTTCTGACGCACAGTGCCACTGATCTGCCAGAAAACTATTACATAATAAATGTCAAATGAAACTATAAGATGGTTAGAGATCAGGGGCTGTATTCATACATCTAATTCTAACCCCTAAATTCCACCGGGTCCGTCTGCGCCGCGTTGCGGTTTTGGTCCGGCCTCCTCCGGCGTCATACCCTACCAGGCGCGTTTCAGAAGCATTTCAGAAGCGGAGCGTCTTGCCTGCCGGCTCGCAGTTTTTGTTGATTTGGGCATATTTCCTGGACAGGCTACTTTGTACAGACAAAGTTAATAATAACTGTAATATTCCAGTTATAAACGACATGAATCAAAGATGTGTTGCTGTATTTTAGTGGTAAAAAATGCATTCATCATCATAATTATTCTATATATATATAATCTACACAGTGCCTGTAAACCGGAGGAGACCGCTGGCATTTCTCCTCCTACTTGAAAGACTACGGAGGGATAGGGTCTGCAAAATTAGTTTGTGTGTGTGTATATATCTATATATATATATATATATATTAGGGCTGTCAGTCGATTAAAATATTTAATCGCGATTAATCGCATGATTGTCCATAGTTAATCGCGATTAATCGCAAATTAATCGCACATTTTTTATCTGTTCTAAATGTACCTTAGAGGGATATTTTTCAAGTTTTAATACTCTTATCAACATATGAGTGGACAACTATGCTTTATATGTTTGTTTATTATCATTTGAACAATGACAAATATTCTCATGAATATTAAACACAACAACCTGAACATTACAAATATTCGCCTCAATTCAACCTAGAACCTCTCTCATACAATACTGTGTGTGTGTGTGTGTGTGTGTGTGTGTGTGTGTGTGTGTGTGTGTGTGTGTGTGTGTGTGTGTGTGTGTGTGTGTGTGTGTGTGTGTGAATGTGGAGGATCGTTGGAGCTATGTGCAGCTCAAGGCATATATGCCTGTGTGTATGAGCTGTGTTGCGGCACTATCCGTGCTGAGTGTGCTGTCTGGCTACCTGCATAAAGTCAAGTGCTCGGCGCAGTTGTCGGCGAAATGTCGCTGCTCTGTTTTCATTGAAACAGCTCCTTATATCCGTTAGCTCAGCTAGCTAGCACCAGATGCTAACAACAACACGTAAGGTGTGCTTCGCTCGCGCCACACATACACACACCCTCCCGGTCCTCCCGATGGCCAGTCCGGGCCTGCCGGTGAGCGTGGAAGTGTGGTCTGCCACAAGCGGGCGGCAGGAGTGGGGCTGTCAGCATCAGCTTGGAGATGGTATTTTAAACTCGATGCGCTCTGAAACTACGGCGGCCGAGGACAAAAAATACACATGCGTTAATCGCGTTAAAATAATTAGTGGCGTTAATTTTTTTTTGCGTTAACGCGTTATTAACGCGTTAACTTGACAGCCCTAATATATATGCTATATATGCTCTGAAAGTTCCACTTCCTGCCTGCCCGACCTTACGTTACGGCTGCGCCGCGACAAAAATAGGATTCGATCCTAATTTTAGAGGAGCCCTGCGCCGAGCCGCTTCTGGGACGCTTCTGAGCCGTAACGCGCCGCGTGTGGTGGAATAGCACCCATTGACTAGAGTGGCCGCGATCGCCGTGAGCACCGCGGCGCAGCCGTAACGCGCCCGTAACGCGCCGCAGACGGACCCGGTGGAATCTAGGGGTAAGAATGGTTTCCTCTTACGGTTAAGACTAGATCCTGGTAAAGATAAAACATAAAGCATCTCAGCCCTTAGGAGAGCTTCTAAGTGAACTATTAGGAGTTGAAAGGAGCACTTTTCAGAGGCTTCAGGTTCTTAAACAGAGGAGAACATGTCGAAACATAGATAGGTAGGAGAAATATTTTTCAAACATTGAATGACGGTGAGTTAAAATAAAATACTAAAACTACCAGGATGGTTAATAAATAAAACCAAATAAATAGTACTGTATGTGAATTAGCTACCGCAAATGTCCTTTGTTCTAATTTATAATTACACTGCGTATTTTCTGTTTCTATGAAGCAATTTGAAAGCTCATTTTTATATAAGTGAACATTTTTATCATTATTATAATTTTATTGTTTTCACTTCCGATTCTATCCTCATTGTCAATACGAGTGCTTTTATTTATTTATTTTTTATCAGAAAATTAATCCTTTTGAGGGGATTTGTCATACCTAGCAACTGCCCCAACCACACCGGTAAAATCGCTGTCAAAGCTCTGTTAGTTTCCTAAATCACTCCTGAGCTCGGACTCCTTGCTAAACATGAAATGGTTGAGTTAGGAGCTCTCAGAGTGTCAGAATATTTGCGAATGTGCCCCATGTCTGTTACTTACTGCCCAGAGCTGTCTGCTGTGTCGGGGTCCTGACTCTCTGGCTCTCCTGCTGACAGGGGTTCTGCTGAAAGGGGTTCTGCTGACAGGGGGTCTCCTGAGGTGGCCTCTGGCTCCGCACAGGGTCCCGGCTGACCGTTGGGCCTGTTGTCGTTGAGATGAGGTCTGGGTGGAGGAGGTGGAGGGGGCAGATCTGCCTCTAAACCATCTCTAGACATCACTATCTGCTTATCCTGCTACAGGGGATGAGACACAAAGACACACAAGAAAAATTAAGTTTACTCCCAACTTACAGAAAGACAGACTTAGGCAAGCTAAAGAAATATGTTTGACGGCCTAAGATTGTGCCAAAGATTCCCTCTACAATAGTTAATAGAGAATCTTTAGATGACAAAATTCACCTCTGTGTTTATACATTTGTAGTTTACAAAGTCAAAGCCTAAAAATAGCTGCATATTACCAGGAGCAGGGAGAGGTGCAAATAAATGATATCAATACTAGGTGTGTGAGCCAAGCCCTCAGCTACAAGGATAAGGCTGCTGATTAAGACGCCTAAACTCACTGACTGGTGAATAACCTCCGCCTGCTTCCAAAAATTGTTTTAATGTAAAAACGAGAGCTTAAAACTGTAAAAATGTCTGTTCTAGCTCAATGACTAAAACTGTTTACATAAGACTGCACAATACTTTCAATAACAGTGATGGAATACAGTTGCAGACTTTGGCCTTCTCCTGTCTGGTCTCAGGTATCTGAGGTTTGCTGCCAACATAACAGCCCGAGATGAGCCTGAGGTCATTACAGGGTTACCCCCCAGCCCTGTGCTACCTGCGCTGCTGAGCACTCTGGCAGGGTGAGCTTGGCTCCCTCGATGACGGCCATGTAGGAGAAGCGCAGCTGGTCTGGGGTCTGGATCAGGCCCATGCGGTACTCCCTCATGTCCAGAAGCACCTTCTGAATGTCTACTGATGACGGGTTCTTCCTCCTGTCCATCTGCAAATCAGATGAACATGTTAGGAATACAGATGGAAGAGCTTTGCAGCTAAGCTTAGCTCCTAACTAAACAACAAAACATTCAGACAGCTGAACCCAAGCTAGTGTCATGTTTGCAATCCTGTATGGTAATGAAAAGTTCCGGGTTCCTGCTGGAGGTTTCCACAGGTCCTTAGAGATCATGATACCTGAGACACAGGGTGTTTCTCAATCTCGAGTACGCTTGCTTGGTAGCACATGTCTTCCGAGCGTCTTGCTTCAGAAGCGAGGCAAGAATACTTCCTGGCATTCGGAAAACAAAGAGTGGAACACGCTAGCAAGTGTGCAGGTGTGCGTCATATGAGAGGCCCCGCCTTACATTTTCCGCCACAGATTTGGGGAAATTGGTCCGTGCGCAAAGCATTGTGGGGATTTTAAGACCGCGGAGTCTACACATGTGCAGGCTCGATATTTCTCCAAACAAAGTACGCCGGGCTCGGTAGATTTCCAAGTATGCTGGAGATTGGAACAGTACTTCGGCGGCACTGATGACGTAGTATGCTTGAAATAGTGGCTCTGAAGCAGCTTTACTCGAGATTGAGAAACACCCTTAGTTTAGATGACTTGAGTTTTAAGTAGTTCCTAAACTGGTCTGATGTTTAATAACTGGGGCCAAATTCCCAATATTTCATTAAAAAAAGGAATCAGTTATTTGACTTTATTGTACTTTTGTAAAGTAGTAAGCCTTATTAGTAAAGCAGGACTTTAACTAGTATTGTAAGAATTTTGCAAAATAAATTCAACTTAAACTCAAGTAAATATTCTGAATGCGACATTTGGCTACTTCCCACACATACTGTACAGCTCTGGAAATAATAAGAGACCAGGAAGTTGAGAGTTATTCCTTGGTCATAGTCTTCTTCAATGCATAAACCATTGAAAAATGATCAATGCATTAAAGTATAATACCACCTTCAGATTGCAGCTATGTCCCAGTAAGTAATCATAACACCATCATCTCATTTGACTCTCTTGGAAGAATAATGTCCTGAGTAATGTTTTAACGCTTTGTTTTCAACATTAAGCAACAATTCCCTCCAATACTGACTGTAGGTGCGGACACTCCCCCCCCCAATCTCACCAGGACCAGGCAGGTGTCCACCAAGGCGAGGGTCCCCGAGCGTCCAATCCCAGCGCTGCAGTGCACCACTGCGGGACCCTGTTCTGCTCCCAACGAGCCGGACTCCCGGACCTTAAAGAGGAAGTTGAGGAAGGAGGCCGGGGATTCTGGGACTCCAAAGTCAGGCCACGTGGTGTAGTGAAAGTGGTAGATCTCCCTCGACTCCCCCGTCTGTGACAGATAACACGTGAGGACTGACATCATTTGGAGCATTTTATTCAGAGCACTGCATGATGATTTGTCACTAGGAAATCATCACACAACATATGATGCAATCACAGCGTTTATCCTCTCCGTACATTTAGACTTTGATGCTTGTCCTAACAACAACAATAATAATAATAATAAATGTTATTTGTAAAGCACCTTTCATTGCTAAAAGTAATCCCAAAGTGCTACAAGGGGCGTAATATATTAAAAAAAATAAACACAAGTTTAATCAAAGGCTTTTTTTTAAAGAAAGGTTTTTAGGCCAATACGACTCAAGATGTTACAAGTTGAGACAGCTCAAGTAATACTCAGAGCCAGTAGTCTGAATAAAGAAAAACAAGCAAGAAAAACATGACTTTTTTCTAAACTAGACACAAAGCAGTTTTAGCCTCTGAAATTGCACCACTGCATTAAAACGGAGTTATTATCTTATAGACTGCTTCTCATGCTCACCATTGTGTTTTGCAGTTCTAGCACCCGTATTGTGTAATAGGATTGGTCTTCCTCTGAGAGCAGCCTGACCACAAACCCTGTGTCAGTGAAAGACATTGGATGCTCCTCTGAGGTGGGCCAGTACTGTGCACACTTTTCCTGTTGACACAAAAATGAATTGACTTCATTTTTTTATAGGAAGCCACATTTATGTGCAGAATAAATGAACACTGATTGAGGATCCATAAATAGGCAGCTCCCACAAAGCATATTCAAACCTCCACTGCACACAGCTGGATATTTAGTAGGAGACATATTGTGTTCAACCATCAAACACATTAGATACAAATCATTATTCAGGGTTCATACACTTTTTCACCAATGGTTTTCAATGACTTCTCCATGACCTTTACCTAATTTTCCATGACCAAAAAAATTACTCTTTCTCAGCGGTACCACTGAAAATGGTTTATTTTAACATGGAACAGGAAAATATCTAAAACAAATAAAATAGGCTTACTAGCTTCTACACGCTAAAGCAACTCAAATCTCACACCAGCAAAATACCTCGACAGTTAAATGCCATTTAGTAGTTTCATTACTATACGATACAGTATCTATTATCATTATAGTATTACTATTTTGGCGATTAGATAACATATAAATTATATTTGATGCAACTTTAGTTACATTTCCATGACTTTTCCAAAACTTTGGGGAAAATATTGTTTTCCATCACTTTTCCAGGGCCTGGAATTAGCATTTTGAATTTCCATGACTTTTCCAGGTTTTTAATGACCGTAAGAACCCTGATTATTGAAGCCAAAGCATTTTATATGTCTTAAAAAGTAAATAGCTACAAAATAGTAATTGATATAGATAAGCGGTAGTTGATAAAGGTACGGTAATGTATGTTATTTAAATATTTTCCTCTCAGTAGTTTCTTTAACAGAAAATAAGTCTTCTTCTTTTAACAGTAAAACTGAAAAAAACAATCATATACATATTCTAAAATAATTTGCCAGGAAATTATTATTTTTTAAAACATTGTATGGCCTTTTCCACCAGTGTGTGCATGTGTGTGTGTCTTGTGTGACTGTCCTGTGTGTAGTGGTCCCTAAGGCTAGAAAAGTGTCATATCAATGCATTTGATTGATCACGATATGACACGCTGAAACAGACAGCAAGAAAAGCAATGATAAGCAGGTGTTGAGGTATACTCACAGATCCCTTTTCAATGATTCTGTTGAGCATTAGAACAGCTTTGGAACACTGCTCCCAAATCATCAGCCAGAAGTGACCACAGGTATTCCTTAGAGGCCCCTGTTGAAGCACAAGAAATGAATATAAATAGAGAAAGCATGTCCTGTCTTTATCAAAAGTTCACAAACATCAGAGCAAAATGTTGCATTCTTTATCAAATACTTCAAAGATGCAGCGTATTCTTTTGCAGACATTGATATTGCTTGTATCATACCTGAGACAGAATATAAGCTCTTTGGGCTTCCTCCATCATGACTAAACTTGCATTGATGTAGTCATTTTCAGAGTTTTCAAGTTTGACCCGACTGTGATCGACTGAAACCAGATGAGAGCCCATACATACATTACACATATGTCCTTTACAATAAAGCTTTGCTGCCATATTTGTTTTAAGACTCACATGGGCTGACATCTCTGTAGCGGTTCAAATTCCGATTCATTGGGAGTTTTGCCACTTTGTAAGGATATTCGCTGGCTTGGTTACGGATCTCCTGTTGGAGACAAAAAACAGTGTCAGGAGTTAGGAGATGGTATTATTGATTACAAAACAAAGAAGGGAGACATACTGTTAGACAAACAGGAACATACGTGTGAAATACACATCCTGCATGTCTAAAGGGGCCAGAGACACTGACGACATTCATGTCAAAACACACAGATCTAAGCTATTCAATCCACTATGTATTTTGTGCTAGGTTTATTAGAATTCAATGTCATCTATTACTGACAAATATTTCTATTGTGATGCTTTTGTGTTTTGTTTTTATGACACAGAGCTGTTCATGTGTGTATAGGATGGGGATTCGGATGATTTATAAGAGTCTACTGAAAACATTATGATAGATCTAAAGAAGTTTTTGAGAGGCCGCATAATAGTTTCAAATATAAAGTAACATTAAAAATAGTATTCTACTTCTCAGTAGATTATAATAATATCATCTGAATAATTGTAGACCTTTAATGCAATTAATAAGTCAGCAAAACAAATAAAGACTATTATTTTTCTATCAAATTACATTACATGTAATTGTTAGACGCTTTTATCCAAAGCGACTTACATACAGATTCAATACTGTGGACAATCCCCACAGGAGCAATTTGGGGTGAAGTGTCTTACCCAGGGACACAAGGACATGCTGACTGCAGTGGGACTCGAACTTGCTATCCCCTGATTTGAAGTCCAGCACACTAACCACTGAGCCACAGCCTCCCCTACAAATAATACATTTCCCCTATACAACCCTCAGGCATTTACTCTGAAGTTAGTTCACTTCTATGACAACATTTATATTCCTGTTAAATGAACAAAATGATTGTTTACGGTAGCATCGTTATTTTAGTTTGCCTCTCTAACTTCCAACGGTTAGCTAGACAACCTCTCAGATTACAGGCGATCCAGGTGAGTAGCTAATGTGAAATATGACATGGCCATAGCCTAAGCAGAAAGCCTAAGCAGAAAACCGGAACAGACATATGATAAACTACTAGCTGGGCTATGTTGGACAGCTGGTGGTGAAACACATGCGCTTTTCTCTGGAAGTCCTTATGAGTTCTCAGAAACTGCAGCTGACGTCTGCTAGCGTCATTCAGCATTAGCTAACTGAGCTCCACCATGAACACTGTGCCGCTGCACGTTTTCAAGCTAACGTTACAAGCTTTCTAGCTACGGAAGTCAGCGACTACTAGCGCGGATTGATTGTTTCTCATTCGCCTCTAAGCTGTTCACTATCTGCATAGCACTACATATAACCTCAAACCATGTTTCGAGTTGTATAAGTTAACACAATTACATTGGTCGTGTAGAAGGCTAAAAGTAACCAGATACCGGGAAAGGTATCTTACTGGCTAGCTACCCATATTAGCTAGCCAAGTAAGTTAGCAACCGATCATCATAGAAACACCAGAGGCCCAGTGTCCCGACTTACATTGTAAAGGTTTTGCCATCTCCCGGACGAATCAATGTCTTCAAATTCTTGCTCCATTTTATCGTAATAACTGCCCGAGACACTTGCTAGATGATCCCAGAGTGTTTGCAGCACCGTTCACCAAGTTACTCCTTTCTGTCAGCCATCTAAACAGCAGTGTGTGTAACCCTGGGGATCCCTGCGGGGAGTCTGCTCCTGCACAATACTGCATGCAGGCTCACTGACTTGGGTTGCCAGTTGCGCTTTTTTGTCAACTTAATAAAAAAACAACAACGAATCAACTAAAATCAAATAGTTATGTTATCTTTGTGTACAACTATGTTAAATCATATAAAATGTATTTTAAATATATATAAATAAAACAAACCTGGTCTACTACAATAACCAATGTAGCTATTTAAGAAAATAATAATGTATCTTTATTTATTTGTTTACATACTACAGAAGCCATGGTTAGAGTAACAAATAAAGTATCATACAATACAAAATAAATATTTTTTAAAACAAGTTTGTCACATTCCTCTAGTCTAAAAGTGTTCAAATATAAGTGTTTTAATCTACTAACCTGGCAACCACGGTGACCGGTCGGGAAAAATGTAAGAATATGTCACTTAATAGAGTTAACTAATACATTTCAGCTAAGAGTTTTCATTTTTTCGAAATGATATACTATTCGATGTTCAGATCGACATGACACGTTTCAACATAAATGTTATCATGGAGTCGCTTAAAAAAGGATTGACCTAAACTTGGTTTCAATGCGCCCCCCCGTGGTTAACTTCAGGGATAGCACTCTACAGGACCCGCCAAACATACACACACAAGTGGACACATGACAGGCCTGCTAGGAAACTAGTTAAGCTAGGGTTGCTGGTTAATATTTGCTAATTGTAATCATGTTTGTAGCGCGAAGTATCGCAGCAGATCATAAAGATCTCATTCATGATGTTTCGTATGATTTCCACGGCCGGAGAATGGCCACTTGTTCCAGTGACCAAAGTGTGAAGGTAAGTTCAGTTTGCTAATGTTAGCTCTCACAGCAAGCTTGTTAACACCACCCGTAGTATCACACTCTTAACACCCTATTGGAGAGACTGACTCTCATTCCATTGTTGACGGATGTAAAGTTAGGTCATTTGCGATATATATGGAAACATTTGAATGTCGAAGGAATCTAAACCTTGTTTGATTTAGCTAGCTTGATAGCCATGGTGCCTGTAGCATACAGGCTAGGGTAGCTACAGATAACTTTGAGATGCACAGTTTAATGTAGCTTCACGTTATCACATCCAGGAATGTCGTTGAGAGCCCTGTGTTACCAGCCACACAAGTATAGGCTATAGATAGACTTCGTATCTGAAATATTTCGTATTTCTGTTAATTTGTGTTACCTGCACGTTATTTCATTCAGGTTTGGGACAAAAGTGAGAACGGAGAGTGGCACTGCACAGCCAGCTGGAAGGTAGGCCACTTGCTGCTTATATCATTGATTTAACCATTAAAAGGCTTTCCAGCTAAAATATTAATTTCAAGTATTTGCATAACGGCATATCACATTAGCATTTTTGCAATGACTGTTTATGTCCTACTCTGTCTCTTGTCACTTTTCTGATATTAAAAAAATCAGTATCTAGTGTTGGGCTCTATTGGTTTGACTAAAGCTGTTCTGTGTGCAGACACACAGCGGCTCCGTGTGGAGAGTGACCTGGGCTCACCCAGAGTTCGGGCAGGTTCTGGCCTCCTGCTCCTTTGACAGGACCGCTGCTGTGTGGGAAGAGATTGTAGGGGAGTCCAACGACAAGCAGAGAGGACTGAGCCACTGGGTGAGTGAAACTCTGGCATCCTTATACACTTGCAAAGCACACACCACACATTTATATTTCTTTATTTTCTTTGCAGTTCAGTTGATGATGATGATGATGATGATGATGATGATGATGATGATGATAGTACCCCCCCAGTGTTGTGTGGTTATTATAATAATGTTTCCCACTAACACACCATCATTTACTTCTCCCCCTATTTAACATTGTAACTGCTGGTCACTTTTTCTACAGTCTTCTTTTTGACACATGATCTTTTATGGTGTTTCGTTATAGATTAAGAGAACCACACTAGTGGACAGTCGAACATCAGTGACTGATGTGAAGTTTGCCCCTAAACACATGGGCCTGATGTTGACCACCTGCTCTGCGGACGGAGTGGTGAGGATCTATGAGGCTCCGGATGTGATGAACCTGAGTCAGTGGTCCCTGCAGCACGAGATCTCCTGCAAGCTCAGCTGCAGCTGCATCTCCTGGAACCCCTCAAGGTGAGACCATCGTTTTACTTAGCTTCAAACTGACACTGAAATGTATATAGAGATTTACAGTTCCTCATTTCATTTTCCTGGCTGAACTGTATCTCGGTTTTGCCATACATCTTGTTTATAGGAGGTGGAGCTGTAACAACCAGTCGAACACTTACTGGCAATGATTTTGAAGAATTGTTTTGTAGGTTTTCAAGTGAGAATCACTGTTTTCTGATGTTTTATTGATTATTATGCACAGTCCCTATGACATTTTACAGATCATGTGTTTTATATCATAGAAAAATAATATACATTTAATGTTTAGTAGGTATAACAGAGTACTTGACATACACTCAATTTCCATTTGATGAGGTACTCTTAGCTGCACCTAATGCAGTCTCAGGGCTTGGAAATATGGAGAAAAAAAGATACCACTTTTTGACTTAATACCTTGATATCTATATTATGACTATACTGAATTGTTGCTTTTATATGTATAACCTATCTTTGTACAATGAGATTTTTGATAAATAATCACTTCTGTGGATATAATGATGTAGTGCAGTGGTTCCCAAACTTTTTCTTTGTAGATGAGAATATCTTCGATTAAAATTGATTTAAAAAATTTGAATTTATAAAACGGCAACGTCTTATTTGATAGAAGAAAATGAATAATAAAGTGACGAATCACCTTCACAGTGGAATTATTAAAAGTCTAACTGTGTAATGGTTGGGTGTCGTTTGGATTTTAACGATTCGGGTTCAGATTTTGGTTCTGCTTTTCATTTCTGGTTCTTTTCGGTTCTGGATTTCGATTCTTTGAGAGGGTAAAAATAAGTCACATGCCAATTTCACAGAAAAAAAAAAGTATTTATGAAAACATTTAGTCAAATGACTATTCATATTTACAAATCACTTCATACTGTTTAATTCCGTCGCTGTTATTGAATACAATGATTTACTAATCAACTCTGCATTGTCTTTGCATTCACAAGTTAGTTCTAAGTGGTGCAATTTGAGAATTGTCGATTCCCCATCTCCTCTGAAGTTACACTGCAACCTGCCTGTGAGACAGAGTCCGACCACACACAGTCTGTGTCCAACACATGTCCTGCAATACATATCTGACAGCTGCCCAACTGCTTCACTATTTGCAAAAGTAAATAAATCATCATTTCATAAAGAAAAGTAACTTCCTATACTCTGCTTCACAAACAATATGTAGTAAGTTCCCTCTGCCTGTCTGTCTCACAGTCCGGGGATGTGAGGACAGCGTGCGGTCAAACAACATAGGATCTAAAACTTTTAATAGGTTTCATTACGATAAAGATGACGGGCGTTCAGCGATCAGCTGATACGGAGCAGAGACAGAGGCCTGCGGTCCGTGGGGCTCACTAAACCAGCTCCCTGAGAGAAAAAAAGGGAACCTGAACATTTCCTTTGCAAAAAATACACCTTTAATCACCACATATTTTCAGTGACTGGTGTGGGCTTGCTTTGTGCTGCAGATCTTTTCAGCAGCTGTGAGCTTAAGCATGCCTCAATCATTTGCCTTGCTGCGCCCCCCTGCAATAGCACTGCAGGGGCCCAGTACTTTGGGAACCACTGACGTAGTGGGTAAAGACAAATATTATAATTTATAACATTAAACCACTTTAATGTAATGCAGAATTAAATCTAAGAAAAGTCAATAATGACATATTACGATTCAAAATTTAAGGCAATATCTACTCTCATATCATGCTATCGATATAACATTGATATATTACACATAGCACAGCCTGTAGGATATGACAGTGGAGTTTGAGGCTCTGTCAGTGTATAATGTGTGCTTTTTCACCCTTCCACACAGCTCTCGGGCCCACCCACCAATGTTTGCCGTGGGTAGTGACGACAGTAATGTGAATTATGGTGGCAAAGTTCAGATCTATGAGTATAATGAAAACACAAGGTGGGTTTCACTGAATTTACCAATCTTTATGTCACTCTTTTTCAAAAATCAAACATCCCAATTAGTTGAAAGAAAATGTTAATGATTGTTAAAAAAGTTGTTTTACCATTGTTTACAGGAAATATGCTAAAGCAGAGACCCTGATGACCGTCGCAGATGCAGTCCATGACATTGCGTTTGCCCCAAACCTGGGGAGGTCTTTCCACGTGCTCGCTATTGCAACAAAAGATGTCAGGATCTTTAAACTTGTTCCTATGAGGTGACTGATTCCATGATTTTCTCTGTTAAGTCACAGTGTTCATGTGAAGGACTCGCAACAAACACATTAGTGTAGTCGATGAAATCCTGCATTTCACTGCAGGACAGTATACATTATAACTGTTTTTAAACATAATGTACGGTGGCCCTGAAGTGCAAGTCAAAACAGCATTTCAGGAAACACCACGGCATTTCAGGAAACGCTACAGCATTTCAGGAAACACCACGGCATTTCAGAAAACGCTACGGCATTTCAGAAAACACCACAGCATTTCAGGAAACACCACAGCATTTCAGGAAACACCACAGCATTTCAGGAAACACCACAGCATTTCAGGAAACACCACAGCATTTCACATTGGACGGAAAGGGTATTCCTTTAGGGAGAACACTTCTTGTTTGTGATTGGACAGAGCCAGCCAGAGAAGCACTGCTGTGATTGGTTGTTTTTGCTGCCAGTCAAGAAATGACGCTTCGTGATTGGTCAGCACCCGGCAGCGCAACATGTCCCGAAACATCAGCCGTTAGCTGTGAGCACACACTCAGAGCTCACAGCTCCTCATATCTGTTCAGAAACTGGACAAAAGTTAAACAAGAACAAACCACAGACTGTCTGTGTCATGGCGAATACAGTTGCTGCTTTATTTATGTCTGTATGCCGGTGTTGTGAGTGTGGACGGAGCAGCTACAGGTTAGTTTATCCTGATCGATCCGATCTCCATTCAGAAAACACGCATTTAAAAAGGTTTTTCGCCTGCCGACTTGTCACAGCATTAATTCATGGTTTTTACTAACTGGTATCAGTATGTTGTTACTTCGGCATCATTTTGAAACGTGTATTACAATTTAAATCACGGTAAAATATGTTCATTTTGTTGTAGTCTACCATAGTATTTACATGGATATAAGCCCCGAATATTCACATCGCTCTAATCGCTCGAGTTTCAGGTTTCACCGCGGCTGTCAGCTGTGTTTACTCCTGTCATTCAAACAAGACGCGCTGGAGAGGGGGCGGGGCGTATCTCCATGTAAATACTTTGGTAGATACCAACTACAACAAAATGAACATATTTTACCGTGATTTAATTGTAATACAGGGTGTTGTGTTTTCTGAAATGCTGTAGTGTTTTGTGAAATGCTGTATCGTTTTCTGAAATGCTGTTTTGACTTGCACTTAAGGGCCACCGTAATAATGGGAATTAAATCCTTCCACTTTAAATAATTGTTTGAAACTTGGATCCATCTGACAGGAAGGAGAGCACCTCTACAGGACCCACCAAGTTGGAAGTGCAGATTGTGGCTCAGTTTGATAACCATAACTCTCAGGTGTGGCGTGTGAGCTGGAACATCACCAGCACCCTGCTGGCCTCCTCCGGGGACGATGGCTGTGTGCGCCTCTGGAAAGGTAACAGGCTATTTTTTGCTTCTGTTGATGATTGCTCATGGGTCTTCTTTTCATTTTAGTGATAGCTACCAGAACTTTTTTTGGAAAAATGCTACTTTGAATGAACAGTGACTCTCAGCAGGTATTACGCAACTTTTGCTAATGCATTGCTGACGTCATTCAATTGAGGAATGATCAATCAGACAGTCCAATGTCACAAACAGATCTGAAATACTCGCACAGTGTTAAGATTGGGTTTCACCAATTCTAGAAACTCTAATTGTTGTCTAACTAAGTGGTGTTCCATGCACTTAACTCATCTACGTAATGATGTGCAGCAGCAAAGTCTCAGTCTAGTCATGTAGTTCTTTTATTTTTACGTTCAAACATGTCATATATTAATTTGATGCTTGCTATTACAAATTGTATGACCTTTTTTTTACTAATTAAATTAGCTTGTCATTGACCCCTGAACAAAAATTGCAGTCTTGCTCATATCTTTTGAGTTGTTATGATGCATACATTTCTGTTATATTTCAAAACAAAAGTCCATGAGATGCATTAGTGTGATTATGCCATAGATCCGTCACATCTGTGTGACATTTCAACTGTCCATTTTAATGCAGAATATACATAAAGTAGAAAATACACTCAAAGAAAAATTATAAAAGGGAAAAGTTAAGCTGTTTTCAAATTCTTCCATCAGCTTTTCCACTTCCCCATGTGTAATCACAATCAGAAACAGGTTTATTACCAGGTAGGTTGACACGTACGAGGAATTTGACTTGGTGTCGTGACATACATAAAAGTAAAAAAACATAGATAGAGAACCATTTTAAGAACACTATAATAACATTAAAAAAATAAGGACAAATATAGTAAAATCAAAATAAAGCATGTGTAAAGGACATTATTAACATTTTAAGTTACAATTAGTTTTACTGATTTGATTCCTGCAGCTAACTACATGGACAACTGGAAGTGCACGGGCATCCTGAAGGGAGACGGCAGCCCCCTCACCGGCTCATCGGGTCAGCCCACAGCTATGAGCACTGTTGTGGGCTCCTCCGTTCAGACATCCCAGAACACCCAGAACGGGATGTCTGCAGGAAGGTAGGTGGTGTGGCCGCCACTCACCCAGCCTGACCCGCACCAGACAGAACTGACCCCTTATTCCGCCTCACACTGACTGGGACTACAGCTGCTCCCTGACAAACTCCCCAGGCCCTTACTGACCAAATGCTGCACTCAGGCAAAGAGCTTGGCTTCAAGGCAAAGAGTCTGCATCAAGCCTGTTGGATGTGTTGTGTTTTTTTTTTTTTATTAGGCAATTTGCTCTTGATTTGTACAGATGCATGCAAGAGTAGTTTCCGCATTGTATTGTCCCTGCTAACCATATAATTGGTGCAAAATGTAAAATAAACCTGTTTTATATAAATTTGACTTTTTCAAATGATTATTTTATTATTTTGATGGGGAAGATTGTTTTTTTAAATATCGAGAAATTTGATTAGCTTCAGTTTACTACATCCTGACATCCAACATTGTTGTGACTACTTCCATTTTGAGATGAGCAATTCAATCAAAGCTCAGTAATCTGTCTCTTAATTTCACTTGAATTTCAAAACATTTTTTACATTTGAATGTATCCTCGAGCAAGTATTGCCAAACTCTTTGCTGAGCAGAAGAACAGCTTGAATAACTTCATTAACCCACTAAAATGACAACAGAAATAGAACAACACATGCAGTATGGGTATGGATACAGCTGCTGACATAAATGGCTTTTAAAAGAAGAGATAACACATCTTTCTTTTACAAATGAAGTGTTGAATTGAGCAATAAAACTCACTCTTTCTTAATTGCGAACAGTGTACTCGGGTATTGCTCTCAAGCCATACATTGTTGGGTCTGATCAAAACCTTTCTGTTGCTTACTTCCTGCTGACTCTGACTACATCTTCTACAATTACAAAGTTTAAAACAAAGACTTTCACTAAAGCCACAGTGGTCGCTGTTCAGCAAATGTAACACAGGCTTGCTTTAACATTTGGATTATAAATAAGCAACTGTTACTATTTGATTGCGTATAAAACAGGTTCAAAGTTACCACTGTTTTTATGAGTTTGTATGTGGCTGTATTTATGTTCAACTAAATAACCTCTAACTCAACAAAACATCCGTCATAGCATTTTTTGTCGTCTTTGACTTGACCTTTGAATAACCTCTAACCTGAGTAACAAGATTTGTTTACTGTATGAAATTCTGTGCTCTAATACTTTTGCAACCAAAGTGATTGTACTAAAATGTCATACTGGAAAATAACTTTGCAGAAAAGCTTTTTCTTGCATCCCTATTCCTTGTTGACAAAGAATGAGTTTGGGTGGTTTAAGTAATGGTATTGTAATGCTTGTTGCATGCAGGATTGGCAAGAGAGCTCCCTTTGCCCCTCCCCTGCGGCAGCTGACCTCTCCAAAGATATCCCAGCAGCATCCTGCATATTATTAATGTCTCCTCTGAACCAGCAACCATTTGAGCTTGTGTTAATGCATTTGAAATGTGTGAGTAATGTCCCATCTTAGGTTGTGCTGTTAAAAGCCCTGTTTGTGTTGAAAACTGCATTTTCTGTTCTCCACAGTGTTCCTTTTTCTCTGATCCAATATGTTTGCTGACGGTTCACCTCTTTTACTAACATACACCTTTAAAATGACATGCACCCATCACTATTGTCTGCCATTCACTTTTTTTTCCTCCTCCTTTTAAAAAAAAATCTCATATCTCCTTTGAATTGTTTCCTCTCTGTATTCCATTGTCATCGTCTTCTCCCTGTCCACATGTTTGTCGTCTTCGTCTCGATCCATGTTGTGTTGCTTCAGGTATTTCTTTCCGCCTCTGGACCCTCCCAGAGCGGGGACCAGGTATGGTCACTTGCTGCCTCCCTCCTCCCTCATTGAGCACTGTGATGCTGAGCCCATTCAGCCTCAGCAACAGGCTCTTCCCCACAGACTCTCCTCCAGAGCACTGCTGCCTTTACCAGAGGCTGAAGGACAGTGATGTAGCGGTGTTATAGCTAGAATTAAAAGGGATTGATTGGGGGATGGGCACAAAACTCCCAAGTGCCATTCATTTCTAATAAAGACTTAAATGTATGTCTCTATTTTCTAATGATTTGTTCTTTTTCCTGTGCATAATATAGAAAAAGGTGTCATGAAGTTTTTGTGAAATGTTTTGTTGTATGGCTAGTAGTAGAGCCATTTTTTGTAACCTTGAATAAAATCTGAACATCTCACATATTTGGTTTTGTATGCTAGTGCTTTAAAGAATGTCCAATACAAAGCACATGTTTTGATTTTGGATTAATGAAACAACGTCTGTATCGGCTGGCCTTATAGAGTGCCACAGTGACGCATCCTAAAACCCGGAAGTAAGCTGCGCATGGGTTCCTTCGACAAAAACCATAAATCTATCGATTAGATTTATGATTCGAAAATTATAAAAGTAGGGTAGACGTGGAGATTATCCGACTGAACAAAACGTGATCCGTCTCTTAAATGTGTGTCAACCACAGACCTTATTTCCAGCTATTTTCCAAAATCCTATGGAGAAATTGCTTTTTTGTCGAAGGAACCCATGCACAGCTTACTTCCGGGTTTTAGGATGCGTCACTGTGGCACTCTATTTTCTCCAGGATACAACCTAATCAATTCCTGCAGAGGACTTTTTATCACTGCGCTGATCGAGGTTTTCAACGGCACACGTACCCCTTTTTGGAAGTAATAATAAATAGCCCAATTTTCCCATTACACTCAAACAATACACTTCATTAATAAATGCATGACTATGTAACTGATCCTTATTAATTCAATGGCTATTGTGTTTGTGGACTTGACTTCTGATGGCAGAAACAGACTTGTGATCTTTACTCTGAAATTAGGGAAATAAACTCATTTGTTTTGACAGGGAGGCTACAATTTAATATCATTGTCACTCAAAACCTGGAATGCATGGGATGCAGCTGTCTGCTAAATTGGCGTTCTTGCAGCTGCTAAGCTTGATATAACAAACTCCACCCTTGGCAAGTTACTGTAAGTCATGTATACTACCATTACAGTATGGTGTAAAACAATCATATCCACTCTTTCTTTCATCCATCATGTAAGACGACTGACGAAATTAGTTACTTTTCCAACTAAGTCCAAAAGAACAACATAAATCCCATCCTATCATGATAGACAATTTCCTCCCTCTCAGTTTTTTTTGACCAATCACAGTGGTTGAATTTGGTTAAGTCCTGCCCACATAACATGACGCTCACGCGGGCTTCATGCCGATTCTGGGCGCTGCTTGCTTCGAACTGTTGCACGGTGTTTGTTGTGCCTGCTCTAACTAATAATGAACAACTTAAGGATTTGTGAAGTCACTTTTGGAACGTAACTGCATTTCGCAACTTGTGTTCAATAGTTTATAAGGGAACATTCGAGTTGGAATAAGAACCGTGGTCTTTCGGCCCTTCTGGAGTATTGCATGTAAGTTGAAGTACAACTAACGATAACGTTTGCGTTCTGATTTAACGCTTATTCTCTCTAAAATTGACAGTCTTTAAGGATTTTGGTAAGAGTAGCTAGCAGGTTTAACTGCTCAACCTATCTATGTTGCCTCTAACTTTTGTTCTCGAACACTTCTCTCTGTAACTGAATAAACGAACATAGTGGAGTAACGTTAGTTTTGACAAACCCACTTGTTTTTAGCAAGTCCCGTAAACTAGCTAGCGTAAAGAGTAAGCTAACCTAGCATCATTAGCTAATGAATTGCTCTCAATTGTTTTGTAGATGACAAGTTCAAACTGTAAAGCCAGGCTACAACATGTATGCATATATTCAAAACAAGTATTACAAATTACCCGCTAGTTTTCACAAGGTGGTGTCGATAAACATGTAACGTTGCACTCAAAGCTGCTGCTAGATTAAAGTATCCGTGCAATGTAAAGTTTCAAACAGTTTACTAAAACGTAGGCTACTAATCCCCCCGAAATGTCTCTTTTTTTAATGTATCTAGTCATTAGATGGACTTCAAATGAACTGAAGTCAAGCCACATTTGGCTGTTTCCCTGCTCCATTCAAAAAAGATGGCAGACCGCTTTTACAAGTTGGAAGATGAAGCCTTCCCGAGTTTCCTCTGCAACTCTCTGGACAGCACCAGTGGCCGTGCCACACTGGGGAATGTGACATTGGGTTCAGGCCCAGGGCTTCCAGTGGCTGCTTCTACAGTGGCTAAAATTAACCCAGGATCTGACAACAGGTGGGAGCATGCTGCTGCTTTGGACAGATGTGACTTGATATGGAAATGACCTCATGCATGTTTCTCTGAATCATCACACAGGCTATCTGACTAGTGTGGAAATAATGTATGCTGAAATCATTCGTATTCCTATTTCAGAGTTTATGTTTCTACTAATTCAAGCAGTTAAAGGCTACTGGAAATAGGAAATACTGATATGCAAAAAGATAGATACATATTTACACGCCTGCCAAATATAGAACTGAATATGGATACTTGTTTGTTAATAAAAAGTTGTTACAGCCCTATTTTCTTTTGAAATGTCCCACAAAGTGAACAGGAACAACACTGGGGATGTTCATAGTGAGTCAGTGTTCAGTTGCTCACTATTTTAAAGTAACCATGATTTAGAGCAGTTTAGTCTGTTACAAATCTTGTTGGATCAATGCTAAGTTTTGCTTTACAGAGAAGACCCTGTTGAGGCGTCATATCTGGAGGGCCAAGAGCAGCAGGCCAAGTCCCAGTCCTTTCTTAGGGAACAACCCATGTTCGCCCTAAGCTTCAAGGATGACTTGTGAGTATTTACGCAGCTGATTTGGTTTTGCAATGTTGTCTGTGACTAAAAAAGCTCATATTATATTCAGTTTTTTTTTCAAAACAGATTTTCTTTCTAAAAATGTTGTACTTGCAGTATGTTTGCATTGTGTGTTTGTTTGACAGTTATTTACATTTCACAAAGAGGACCTCAATTACAGCCAGTCATACTTAAAGCTACCTCATTTTAATACTCAAATGTTAAATGCATTACTGAACATTCATATATATGTTTAACTATAGTAATTTATATTCTTCCTTTTCACATGAAGCTTTGATGTGGTCATAATGATATACATCACTGACTGTATTACAGGGACAATGCGGATGACTTCATTGCAGCACACCGTCTCTCAGACATGCTCGTAAAGATTAATTTGGATGAGAGTGCATCTCAAAAGCAAGCCTCCATGCTGAGGCTGTGTTCTCCACAGATGGGCTCAGTGCACAGCCGGCCCACAGAGCTTGGTACGTGGTAGTGCACCTGTCTCGCCTCATGTATAGGTATAACACTGTGGCAATACTCCCATCCTGATCATCGGTAATGATGTCAAATTGGCTTCACCTAGTACTTCAGGGACTTACAGTGTATATGGATATGGTATATTTGTGCTTTCTGATAGAAAGAGAAGAACATATTCTCATTATTAGGTGATGACACTTTTTCTTGAAGATACTAATGCATTTAGCTTTTACTGATTGTTCGACAGATCTTTCAACGGGGCTCCTGACGTTTGCCCATTTTGGGCAAAAAGAAAACACAGATGCAAAGGTACCAACTCTGGTTTGCCCTTGAACAGATAGCAGTTGTACTTTTTATCTGGGATAATTGTTTTGCCGTTATTTTTACAGTCTTGTTTTGCCGATTTGTACCCATCTTGTCAATGGGTACAAATAAATATAATTCACTGCTCAAACTAAATATGTCCTGTATATTATAAAAGAAAAAGCCATGCAATTTTGCTTGTCTTTATATATAAGCATATTTGACCTTTTTCAATATACAGTATTTCTTCTAAAACGATTAAAAAAAACAACCCAGTATACCTTTAAGGAATAACAAGTTAAATCCTATGTTTAAATAAAGGTTTGTGTTTTGGATGATTTTATTTCAAAATGGTCTTTTTTATCTCAAACAAAAAACTTTTGCAAATACTTTTATTTTCCTGTGCAATTCATTTAGGCTCAGCCTCTACCCGCTACAGCTGACGAGGACAATGTGCAGCGTGAGGGAGTGGACAGTGGCAGTAACTCCAGCTTCTTGGCAAATGAGAAGCTCATGTCCGTGGACAGCATCAGTAGCGATATCACAGGTTCATACATTCTTTATATTTTAAATGTAGGAAAAAAACATGGATTGCAGACATTCTGTAAAAGCTTGAGTCATGTTGTGAACATGTGATTGTTCCCTAGATGATGACATAGATTCCGAAAACCTGCCTGATGATGAGCTGGAGCTGTATTTCAATAAGCTGGTGCCTCCTGCCATGCAGCGAGGCAGAGTGGAGGGCCAGGAGATTCCTGTGACAGTAATTCTCTTCTCCATTTCAAACACTTGATGCTCTTAGGACTTGTTCACTTACACTGGCCATCATAAGTGAACCTTTATAAAACAGTTCTATTTAAATCAACTTTTGCATCAAGAGTCATTCCCTTAATCCATATTACTCACTGTCCCTATTCATTTTAATTTCTGACTTCAATGATCATAGGGACGGCCAGGTGCTACTGACAACAATTCAAACCCATGTTCTACAGAACCAGAACAGTATAGACACCAGTTTCTCGATGACTACAATCAGGTGAGCACATTTACACACTGCGTGAAATATCATCTTCCTGAAAGTACTGTTAAGTTTTATAATTATTAACTGGAAATTTGGAGCAAGAAACCCGATTGCACCGGCTTTACTCATTCTAAAGTTCACTTATTGACATTCTACAATTCTGACATTACTTCTGTAAATCTGACTCAAATTAAAGAACTCTTAAATCATGTCTCTGCATAATATATGTTTCACTTTGTATTTTTTCTCATTTCTTTCTGTATCTTGTGTACCTATGTTTTCCTCAGGAAGACTTTCAGATGCCTGATGTGCGTCTTGCTGCTACAGGTATGGACTCCTGTCCAGCCAGTGATGAGGACACTGAGGATGAGCTGGAGTCTGCTAGAAGGAACAGCAATGCTACCCGGACACGGCTGCTGCCCAGCACTTCAAGACAACTGGTCAGAAATAGAAAACAATATTGTTATTGTTTTTAAACTCTCAAGTATTGAGTAGCTCCATTATTCATAGGTCTTGTAAAACAAGTTTTCTTTGGACAATTGTTGTTTTTGTGTGTGTTAATGTCTACATGTGGACACAGGTTGGAGAGAGCAATCGTCCCAGTTTCAGGCCAGGCTTAGAGGGAGGCAGTTCTGATGATGAGGCTTCCAGTGGCCGCGGCGGTCCATCTCTGTCTGGTATTGAACAGAGACGATCGGCTGAGGGACAGGTCATCAACCCTCCAGTCACGGGTACAATATGCAGCTTAAATGATTGTCGCTGCCTTGTTTTTCTTTCTTTTGTGTTCCCTGGCTCGTTTTCTTGCTTTCTTGTTTTTTCCAAGTGAAAGGATACTAAAGCATGAAATCATTTAACAGGGAACTGATTTTTTTTGTAGTTTTGAGGGACACTAAATTAAGACCAATACTCCTCTCCTTAAGGTGTCAACTCTTTGGTTTTGTGTCTTCATGTAACTGAAGGGGATGGAGGAGGTGGGGATGGAAGCAGTGGGAGTGAAGAAAGCGGAAATGACGGTGGGGTTGCGACCATCCCTCTCCCGGCGACTGTGGTCCAGACCACCTATGATGCCCTGCGTGGGCTGGGGGTTGTGGGGAGTAGTGCTATTGGTGAGGAAAATGATGGCAAGCTGAATCTGCAAGGACATAATAGGAATAGTCTTTTCAGACATACCGAGGTAAGAATGAGACTCATGTCTGGAACAAAGACAAACACAGGAGTCAAAAATACTATTGGCTGCATTTCTTGACAAAGTTTATTGATGCAGTTTTTATTTAGATTTCTTACACAACATCTTGCATATTGAAGACATAATTTGTGTAGGCCACACACACTTTCTGTTTGCCCTCATACTGTGGATTATATTTATTTAATACTCTATAGTTTATAAATGATCCACTAATAGTTTTGCAGGTCTGCTTCTTAATTGACTCAATGTTTTGCAGATGGGGGACCGTGTGGGTCCTGTAGGAATAGGAGAGGCCAGCTCTTTTTCCGGTGCATCAAGGGGAACTCAGAGGCTTTCTTCTGTCAACTGGAGCATGGTCCTAGACAGACAGGAGGCACTGGTGAGTGCATATGCACGACAACTCTAATGTTACTATTATAGCCTGACTTGTTTTCATTTTATGTGGGATGTTTTGTGCATATACAGTGGATGAAATAAGTATTTGATCCCTTGCCGATTTTGTAAGTTTACCCACTTACAAAGAAATTACAATCTATCATTTTAATGTTAGGTTTATTTTAACAATGAGAGTAAAAAATATCTAAAAGAAAATCCAGAAATTGACATTATATAAAAGATAAAAATTGATTTGCATTTAACTGTGGGAAATAAGTATTTGATCCCCTTGCAACCAACAATAATTCTGGCTCCCACAGACCGGTTACATCAGTCCTCTTCCTTGAAGAAAGTACTCCTAATATAAACTTGTTACCTGTATAAAAGACACCTGTCCACAGAATCAATCAATCAGATTCCAGCCTCTCCACCATGGGCAAGACTAAAGAGCTGTCTAAGGACCTCAGGGACAAGATTGTAGACCTGCACAAGGCTGGGATTGGCTACAAGACCATCAGAAAGTAGCTTGGTGAGAAGGAGAAAACTGTTGGTGCCATTATTCAGAAATGGAAGAAAGACAAAATTACCATCATTCACCCTCGGTCAGGGGCTCCACACAAGATCTCGCGCTGTGGGGTATGAGGATCATGCTGACTATAACCCCAGAACACCATCCCCACCATCAAGCATGGAGGTGGAAACATTATGCTTTGGGGGTGTTTCTCTGCTAAGGGGACAGGACCACTTCCCTGCATCGAGGAGAGGATGTACGGGGCCATGTACCGTAAAATCTTGGCCGATAGCCTCCTTCCCTCAGCCAGGACACTGAAAATGGGTCATGGAGGGGTCTTCCAGCAGGACAATGACCCTGAACATACGGCCAAGGCAACACAGGAGTGTCTAAAGAAGAAGCACATATAGGTGATGGAGGGGCCTAGCCAGTCTCCGGACCTTAATCCCATAGAAGATCTGTGGAGGCAGATGAAGCTTCCAGATGCCAAGCATCAGCCTCAAAACCTTCAGGATTTGGAGAGGGTCTTCAGAGGGGAGTGGACCAACATCCTTCCTGAGATGTGCACAGACCTGGAGACCAACTACAAGAAGCGTCTGACCTCTGTGTGTCCAACTAGGGTTTCTCCACCAAGTACTAACACATGTTCTGCAAGGGGATCAAATACTTATTTCCCACACTTAAATGCAAATCAATTTTGATCTTTCATATAATGTCCATTTCTGGATTTTCTTTTGATATTCTTACTCTCACTGTTAAAATAAACCTACCATTAAAATGATAGACTGTTCATTTCTTTGTAAGTGGGCAAACTTACAAAATCTGCAAGGGATCAAATACTTATTTCCTCCACTGTATTTTTCATCTCTGTATGATATAGTTTTTTATTTTTGTTGAAACTTTGCTTCTATTTTAAAGTGGACCTATCATGCTATATTTGAATAATATAGTGTAGGACCATACCTATATAAGGTATATTTATACTTTCTTTTCAAAATACCAAACAGATCATGCATTTTAGCCATGCCTCATTTTGCTCAATTTGACATATTTTAGCTCTGTTTTTGCAAGGGCAGATTCAGTGAGAACAGCACCACCTACAGGCCTGGCATATGTACTACAGCGTCTCCAGCGCTTTCGAACGGCAATGGCCGTGGCTGTCTCCTCCTGATTGGTGGAGTTGGCTCAATAGCTGTAGCGCCACCGTCCTGACGTCAGGACAGTGTTCAAATCTGGATCAGTTTTTATCAGATCCGTTGCAGCCCCTTTTTTAGAGATTTGGGTATGGAGGAAAATAGAGAGGGTTGTGTTTTCTGACACTTGGTGAGTTCCCTGGAACACCGGGGACACATATTCATGTATAAAAGACGTACAAAAGTGCATTTTGCATGATAGGTCCCCTTTAAGCAAAATAAGTAGCAAACTGTCGACCATGCACATTCCAGACAAAGAGTTATCTAGTCTTTCTCTTCCGAAAGTTAGATATGGAGTAAAATATACATTCTAAAACTGTGTTGTCTGTCATAGTGTGTTTGCCTGTTTGTTACTGAGGACCGTTAGCCTCAAGGATTTAGAAAATGTAACGTTGTCTGTTGCATGGAGATGTGAAGCACTGCACAACAGAATACAGTGATCAACTCAAACAAAGGCTGAAATATTCATGCATATAACATAAGGCTCTGGTTGTCAATGTGATTCTCATTTCAACACCAGGATGCCATGGAGAGCTCACAGTCTAGGCCTGCTGTTGACAGACTGTTGGACTCCGCCTACCTGAGGAGTGGAGCTGCACTCCAGAGACCTCAGGAATCGGCCAGCCTCACATTCTCCTACCTTCAAGGCACCCAGGGGAGCTTCCACGTCTCTCAGGTACAATACATAACAGGGGAATGGGCGAAAGTCAGGGTTTTATAAAGACCCATGTACCTATTATCCTTGGGGCATTTTGACTGGATGTCAGCATTATAGATAGATAGATAGATAGTACTTTATTGATCCCAAATTGGGAAATTGTTTGAGCACACAATGAAACAAGGACACTACCATTGCAATCTGGTCATCTTTGTTGGTTTTGGGCTTTGTCACAACTTCCCCTACAGGTAAAGTGCATGGAGAAGGCAACCTTGAAGAGGGAAGTTATAGACCTCATCAAGATTGATTGTGTGACATTTCAAATGTAAACTACTTAAGAAGAAATGTTATCATTATAGCTTTTCAAGACACTTTTAAATAATAGGTCTGACAAAAGCATTCAAAAACATTGTAGGTACTGCTTCCTGAATGCCATGATGGGGACAATGAAGATGGTGATGATGGAGTAGATGAGCCTGATGGTGCCAGGCATTCGTTGGGCTTAAGAGGAGGGCCTTGTGGGAATGTAAGTGTTGCAGAGGCCTCAGACGGTACCAGTGAGGATGACAACACTCCCCTTTCAACTTCCCTGGAACCCAAGTATTTCTCCCAGAGCATCCACCAGGACACAGAAGATTCAGATGATGGGTGGAATTATTGCCCAGACAACCTGGAGCAGGAATTTAAACAAGGTTGTCTTTATCTCAATACATATTGTGGCTTGTTTCTTGGTGTAAGTGTATATGTATATACGTGTTAACAGCATGGCTCTCCTCTTCAGGTGCACATGCCACACAGAGTGTGGTTTACCAGAACGATGAAGGACAGTGGGTGACTGACCTGGCATATTACTCCTCCTTTGAGAAAGAGGTTGATGGGAAGACTTCAGAGAATGTTGGCCACTTACAGACTGAGGAATTTCTTCCTCCCAGTATGTAAAAAAAGTCCAAAGCTTATTTAACAATTTTTTTGTACTTATATAAATCGATGCCTATTGCTAATAAATAATCCTTTGCAGGTGATGCTTTGGAAAAGATGGCTAAGGATCAAGAGAAATTTGAGAAAGAGCACCAATTTATGCAGGTATACAACAGCTCCCTTTTTTCAAATATTGTTTGTCACAATCAAATGAATTGTAAGAGTCTGGCACACTCTCAGCCACGCTGTATTTAGTAAAGCACAACCTCTTGTGGTTTATTGTGAGTATTGCTGTTTACACAGGAGGAGAAGATGGAACCAGCCAGCAGCAACAGCACCTTTAACAGCGACTCCTCTTGGAAGGTTCCCCCCAACAGTAACATCCTGATGAGGGCTTCGCAGGTCTCCACAGAGTACAAGCAGGGGGACCAGAGCTACCTGCGACTGACTTTGGGCCAGTTTTTTGGACAGCGCTCTGAAGCCCTTGGCTGTCTTGGCAGTGCTGATGATTTGGATTTTGTTAAACGGGTCAGTACCATTTTCTTTTTTCCTTGTGTTGTTACACAAATAATGTCCTTAGTATCAGTCTCTTTGGGAATTGATTTCAAGACTATAAAAAATGTGTTCATACATAAACCTATAGATGAGATGTGCATCCACATTGATATGCAGCTGCTGTTTGATCTAGCTGCAGATGTTGTATTAGTTGTTGTGTTTCTGCTAACTTTATGTCAAGTTAATACACTCTAATGGTTGAGGTTGCATTAACTTCCGACTGTAACATGTAGTAAAAGCTTGGTCTTTTGTCCTCTAGCCTTCCTTTGGCTACATCATTACCTCTCCAGAGAAAAGGGACCCATTTCCCCTCATTCATCCCTCAGAGTTATCAGCTACAGGCAACTCTCTAGCTGACACTATGGAACCCAGTGAAGCAGATGAGACACTCAACCCAGGTGTGTTCACAATATTGTTATTGCTGATTATTACATGGCTTAGTTGAATACTCGATTCTGATTGGTCAATTCAGAACACGTGACACGTTGTTAATCCAGAACAGACAGACCGCTGTCAAGGACTTATTGACCGTTGTTAAGGACGCTCACATCTGCACAAACAAGTCCGTTCGATTTAACTGTATACAGTTTGGCCGAAAAGCAAACTGCATGCAGTTTGCTTTTCACCTTCATGCCGATGCTTTTCACCTTCATGCCGATCTAGATCCCTCCGCTTCGCGTCGGGCTCCTGATCTGCCTGTCAGTGTTCTTTTCCCCATAATGACCGCGTCGCTGCACATTATCCCTTACATAATCACCTTCTAGCCTCACCTTTTTGTTTGCATTTTCTAAATGATTTAGACTGCTTTTCTGATTATTATTCATGATCATCTCATTTGCAGAAGACCTGGACCAAACTCTTGAGGCACCAGGTGAAAGGATGTCACTGAAAGATGAAATTGCACCGTATGAACAGGAGGTACAGGGGCTTTTCTGATATGTAATATGTAGGACTACATGCATGGCAGCATGTCTTTCTGACATAAAATCACTTCTTCTCTTCAGGATCATACTGTAAGAGCTGCACCTGACCACCATGAGGGCTCTGGCTCTGATTCAAGCTTAGGTAACCAAAGCGGTGTGTCCCCTAACAGTAACAACAGCCAAATGATGCTGAGTATCAGCACAATTGCTTCAGCCATTGCTGATGCGTCCATCAGCACTGACCCATCGCAGCTGGCTGCCATGATAATGGCGCTCTCCAAGAGAAGTAGGGCGATGAATAGACCTGAGAGAGCAGACCATGTTGGACCTACGGTCAACTTTACAGAGGAACCACACTCAGTGGAACATGTAAGGCCTTGATATTCTATATTTTAAAGTGTGCATTTTGGTTTGATCAACTATGTACTGTACAATTGCTCTCAATCTGGTTTGTTTTCTTGAATTTGAATTTTTTTTTATAAATAGCTTTATTACATATTACATAATATGTTGATTATTTGTCTAGTCTTTATTTAAAAAATCTCACTAGAGGAAAACTCAAAATCTTACTTTTGTTTCCCTCTTAAACGTTACAAATGTTTTGGAGTGTCCAATTTTAGATAAAACTCTGTATTTACGATACAGGGACAGGTCAACATTGTGAGTGCCCTCTCCTTTTTTTCAATGTTCCCCCTACACAGATCCTCCCTGAGCCAGATCAGAGCAGCCTGCTGGACATACTGCACAGAAGCACCTGTGTTGGAGAGCTGAGTGCCTTTGACATGGAGAAATACCTGAAAATGACTGAAGTGTCATACAGCCCTGACGCCTCTGTGGCTCACACCACCTTTGACCTGACTGCCTGGGCTAACAACCTCAGCAGCTCTCAAAGGAACCCTCAGGGGGGGTTTCCTGAGGAACAGGGGAGCTCAGCTCAGCAAGTGGACAGTAAGACTCAACAGAAGCCAACAATAACAGAAACTGGGGAGAAAGGCCGAGGAGGAGAGACCTCAACAAACACTAGCTTGTCTACAGAGCCAAATTCATTATCTCCCGGTCATAAGGGTCACTCAAAAATAAGCTCTATCCCTCGTCCCCGTACATCTTTCAGCTCTGCCAGAAGATCTGAGGGCTCAAGGCAGACTTCAACTCTCACGACTCTGGCAGACAAAAGGACTTCCTCTGGCAGGGACCTTACAGAAAATGTCAAGCCAGGAGAATGGAACCAACAGGCCTCCAACAATATTAGATCTTCCTTAGAAACATCACAAAAGAGTGAAACAGGATCCTCTTCTACACCTGGAATGCAAAATATCCTACCAGGTTCATCTAAAGGTTCCTCTTCTCCGCCACAGAGGGTGAAGACTGCAGGCCAGCAGCAGCAGCAGCAGGAGGAGGAGGAGGAGGAGGAGGAGGGACAAAGCAATTTTCCAGCGAAGAATATCATGGCTGCTCCTCTACCTGGTAGTTCTGTGGAGAAGCATGTTGGCTTCTCTGGCCAAAACAACCAGCATCCACTAGACCCTGCACCTGGTGAGTACAAATACAGAAATATGGAGTTTCTAATTAAAACCGTACACATGCAACAGTTGTAAGCACCCTTATTCAAACAACTGTGAAGACCAGTAGCCACCATATTATTAATAATAATAATGCAATGCAATTTTCCAAAACATGTTCATTACATAGTTAAAGCAAGATTAAAAACAACACAGGATGTATGCAGATCAATTCAAGGTTATAGACTATGATAAAACGGAAATAAAACTGCTAAATGCTATGTTTTGAAAAGTGATTTCACTGATTCGGCAAGCATCACAAAATATGAAAGTACATGATGAGAAAGTATTGTCCCTCTGAGAACATTGAGATGGCATCATAAATGTGTATTGTAACTATACTTGTTTCCCAGAGCTGCTGAAGGGTTTTGCTGAGCCTTGCGCGGAGGAGACGCAGTATAACTTCCGACCGTCCACCTCTCCGCTTACTCACTCCTCTCCAAGTCAGACCTCCATTCCCAAAGCTGATGGGTACTGTTCTACAGATGGTTTTCAGTGAATCAAAGAAATTAATAATAGTAGATTACATGAAATAGTAATAATGACTTAATCATAAATAGTCTGTTGTTTAGTTGATTCATATTATTACGGTTAGACACAGGACATTTGCATTTTCAGTCATTATTCATGTATTTCTTTGTTCTCATGTTTTCTTGTCCTAGTATGGTGTCCCCTGATTCATCCAGTGGTGGTCTAGCAGGCAGACATCCAGATCTTGACCTCTCTCCTCAGTCAACCTGCTCCAGCCCCAGTCTCAGCAGGCTCACATACATCTCAATGAATGATGGCACTGTCATACCTACACCTGACAGGCAAAAGGTACCGCAGGACAAATTCATGCAAGAATATAACCTTAGATGAAACCAGACTAAAAGCTCCCCTCATGTTACACAAAGCAAAATGGTCTGTGCTTACGTAGGTAAACTTCAGGTCCTGCTAGACACATTTAAAAAAACAAAACAAACAGGTGCCAGTTTGCCTTCGGGGCACTGCAGAGGTGCCCTTGATCCAGGCACTGGAACCCCCACACTGCTTCCTGGCGCTGTATAATAGCTGCCCACTGCTTTTAATACTTGGATAGGATGAATGCACAGACAACCTTATATTAAAAATGATATATGTATATTTTATTTTTCTGTGTATGTATTACTCACAAGTGTCGTATTCATTATCTTGAGTTGTTATTCTGTCCACAGAATAACTGTACCATGGCACTGAGCACCACCATCATCAGGTTCAGTCCAACTCCACCTCTGGATCAAGATGAACAGTCTGCCCAAGATATTCTTGGCTTGCCTAAAAGCCTGGACCAGGTGCGACCACAGCATTCTAAAAGTCTGGACCCACTACCAGCACAGCAGAGTAAAAGCCCAGAGCCCTCACGTAGTGCATCTGGTCTGAGCTGCACTCGCAGCCAGAGTGAATGTAACTACCACTTCCCCGGAGACAGACCTGGGGATCACTCAGCAGGTTACGGGAACCACAAGCACATCTCTGAGTCCAATGTAAGACAGCTCACTAAAGTGGACTCAGGCTATTGCAGTAATCTGAACATTCAGCAAACTAACAGCAGTGCACCTCCGAGCTCTCAGTGGGGAGCTGCTAGCTCAATGGCATCGTCAGTGTATGCTGGTAGCCTTGGAATGCCATCATACACATCAGGGGGACTTCACTATGTACCCATCCCCAGCTTTAAGCCCCAGTGTGCTGGCTTGATTGACCCTCCCCACCAAGGAGATATACAGTCCCTTCTCGCTGGACGCTCACTTTTCAACTCGCAGCTGGCTCAGCAGTATTTGGGACCTGAAGTTCCATTACATCCTAGTGCCTATCATGTGGGAGCAACAGGACATGGTCTCTTCAGTGTGTCCTCTACAGGCATGTCTTTTGTCTCTGCTTTCATGAATGAGATATACTAAAACCACTACAAAGTTAATAATGATGCAACATGATGGTTAAAGCCCCTATAATATATAATACAATGAGATAAATTAGTTCTCTCCCATTTTTTTACTAGGCATACCCAACACTGAACTAACAGGGAGACACGTCCATCCCACATCAGTTCCTCTGGGGATTCCTGGCTCTGCTGGAACACATCACCTCAATAGACCCCATTACGGCCAGCAGGACGGGGGAATGATGGGAAAACCCTTCAGTCAATATGGTGTAGAGCCAATTGGGGCCGGTGGTCTTGAGGATCTGAGAGGTAGCCATGGACTTCACTTCCTTTACCTATTTTATTATATTGTGTACACTCTTGAAATGATTTTCTTCTTAATGTTTTATCTTGTAATACCATAATAAGTCATATACAGTATGTGGAAAACTGTTTTGTTAAATACAGGACGATAGTTTTGTTTTAGAAGATTGTATCAAGCATTTTCACTCATTTTTGCTGCAAGATTGTCTCCTACAATAAGACACCACTTCCAACTTGTTCTCCATGGAGTGGCAGCATTTCCCTGTATCAGCTCTCCCTGTTCCACTGTCATCCTCAGGACAAGTGGTGGTGCCAGAAGAACTGCGGTTCCCTCACACCTGCTGTGTAGGCATCGCTTCACAAACCTCCCTGAGTCTCTTCAACCCCTCGGAGAGATGGCAGCAAGTAGCAATTACTGTCACCAGCTTGGCCATTGATGGAGAGAAGGTGAGCAGAGTTGGCTTGATGCTATACAGTGGCAAAGAGCATAATGCAACAAATATCGTAAAAGATTGGGTCCAAAAAAAAAAGTCAGCTTGTAATAACTTGCAAAATAATTTGAGTCTAGTTGTAATGACACGGTTTGGAGATCAATCGAATAGACAACCATTTTGTGATTGTAAATCCAGCACTAACTCCATTTCCACCAATGTAGCAATCCAGAAACGTTTTTCATGAACACCATTTAACCACTACTGTGATGATTGCAGCTGATCAACTGCTCCTGAATGTGCTCAGAACCAGGTCTAAGCTCAGAGGGGTCTTTCTCTGTAGCGGCTCCCACACTGTGGAATGATCTGCCCTTGCACATCAGACAGGCCTCCACACTGCCTGTTTATAAATCGCTTCTGAAATCCCAGCTCTTCTCCTTAGCGTATTGACATCTTGATTGTTGCTTTTATGCTTTTAAATAGTCTATTGTTTTTTCTTGTACTTGTTTTATGGTGTGTGTGAGCTGAGCTGTGTTACTTTTTGTATGTTTTGTTTATTTGACTGTACAGCACTTTGGTATGGAGGTTTTAAAGTGCTTTATAAATAAAGCTGTATTGTATGATTGACTGTAAGATTAGCAGTTAACCTGGTTCCTTAAATCGCTTAATAGTTAATATTCAGGGTCACCCCTACTGACAACAATGCTCAAATTATTACTTCTGTCTTTGTTGCCAACCCTACAGGTGGATAGCCTCCCGTTCCAGTGGCTTATAGTGAAAAACAAGACCATCATTGCCCCCAAGAGTACAGAGGAGCAGAAGTTGTTGTTTATCCCTCCACAGGCTGGTGTCTACCAGTGTGTCTTTAGTGTTTGCTCCTGGCCTGCATCTGCCGAGACAGAGGTTGCAGCCAGGGCCAACATCTTTGCTAAAAGAGTTGTTCTGGTTGCTATAGCAGAGAATCCTGCGCTAGAGGTAAGGGCCCCAGTGCAAAGATCACACTCTTCAGAGATTCATTCAACATTGTGTTTTAATATTGTAGAGATTCAATGCTAATCACACTTTTATTTAAATTGAATATGTTGCTTATCAATTGCAAGAAAGGTTCTTAAATTGAGTTTGATTCCCAGGTTGAATTAAATGAATCAGGCTGTCTGGATTTTGGAGACCTTTCAGGAGGCAGTGCCAGATCCCTTCCTCTCAAACTGCTCAACATGACTCATGCTACAGTGCCCATCCGTCTGGTCATCAGTGCAGTGAGTAAATAGTACCATTTAGAAATGTTCTCATTACAAGCACTTGCTTTTCTTTGCAATGCAAAAGTGCAAAAACACAGCAGTGAGCATGATAAACAATATCTGAGTGGTTCATTTTTCACATCTCATTTACCCAGAACGCTACAGCCTGGAGGTGCTTCACCTTTTCCAAGCACCCTGTTACCAACACATCTGAGGCGAAACAGCAGGCTGGACACATGGCCGCAGTGTCCTCTCCCTCGGTGATGAATCATGTGATGCATGCCAGCTACGAACAGGTTAGAATTGCCATAATCCTTATAACCTCATTCAGCTTCTTGGTCTCTTATTTTATTATTTATTCATTCTGCCAGTTTTTGTTTTGTGTTTTAACTAAAGCATGCTCAGGCAATTGTGGTATCCACCAAAATGAAAACTGTTATTGCTGTGATAAGACAGGTGGAGATATGGGTAACATAGTTTCACAGTTCCAGTTCTCTGTATCCGCTAGTAAGCAGTGGAATTTGCTTCATCAGTAACATGACAAATTGCACTTTTGTTCTCTTTTTTCAGAATCCACAGGGCTTTATGGTCTGGGTTCACTTTAAGGCTCCTCAGAAGTACACAGTTACTTCAGGTAATCAATTTGGATTAGATACTTGACACTTTATTATAGTAACTGCCAGAGGTCACAAATTGTATGACTTTTGACTCGACTTGACAATATCACAAAATACTTGCAACTCGACTTGGACTTGAACACCAATTACTCGGGACTTGGACTCGATTAGACTTGATACTTTAATGCAGGGGTCTCAATGCGTCGATCGCAAGCTTCAGCCGCTCCTACTCAGCTTTGCTGAAAATCCATGCAGGCAGAGGCGGGACTTTATTTTGCTGGGCACACTATGCGGCCAATCATATGCGAGGACACACTAGGATCATACCATTATGTGAAAGAAGGGAGGGGGGGCAGACGCTCCAAAGATAGCAAGTATAGTGGTACAGGCCAGCTGCACAGAGAGTCAGAAAGAAGGGGAGACGGATTTAAATGCAAGCGCTTAGGGGAAAAAGTCAAGAAATGAGCGAAAACAGAAAAAGAAGCTTCTGGCTGCATTTCAATGATATTGGAGAAAGCAAAGCTGAGTGCAGGATTTTGTAAAATGAAAATATCTTTCAGAGCAGGGTTCTAATGTTGTTGTTGCCAGAGGTGGGAGAAGTACTCAAGATCTTATACTTGAATAAAAGTAGAAGTACCAGAGTCAGAGTGTATGAATACTCTGTTACAATTAAAAGTCCTGCATTCAAAATGTTACTCAAGTAAAAGTATTAGCATCAAAATATACTTAAAGTACCTATACCATTTTTGTCTCACCATCTGACTCCCATAAAGTCCCCATTGTCATCCATACAGATGAAATCAAGCAGGGAGTTTCATACAAATACTTAGGTGTAATGATTGACCATCTGCTGTCATGGAAGGAGCACATTGAATATCTGTACAAAAGGGCAAAACAAAGAATTGATTTTCTCTGCCGTCTTAGGTCTTTTGGGGCGAGCAGAGAAATTCTTCTGTTGTTCTTTACATCTGTGATCATGTCCATTCTACAGTACTGCAATACTACCTGGTACAAATGTTTGTCAGCAGCTTTCAAATCAAAACTGCTCCACCTGTTAAAAATCTGCTCAAAGATTGTTGGTCAACCCTGTCAGAGACTCTATGACTCAGCCTATCATAACAACCTAGTGATGCTGTCCAACAACATCATCTCTGACCCAAAGCATGTTCTGAACAGTGAATATGAACTGCTACCATCTAATCGGAGATACAGGGTCCCACGATTCAATAAGGTCAGACTGAAGCACTCCTTTGTGCATCAGTCAATCCTCTTTGAGCTGAATCCCAGATCAAATGCACGCTGAAGGGTCATGAAAATGTTTTCTCTCAGTGATTGTGCGGTTATGTTAAATGTTCGTTGTTTGTTTCATGTGTTTCTTGATATTTGTCTCTTGATATTTGTCTATGTTGGTGTTGGACATGGAGCTGCTGTGATGCAAGTCACATTTCAGACTTGATCTGACCAATAAAGTATTATCATATCGTATATACCTACTTAACGTATTAAGTACGTGTTCTTTTCCCGATAATGACCACCTCGCTGCACATTATCCCTTACAAAGAAATGGATTGTGGGTCCCTTATAACATGTTGTACACAGTGGAAATAAACATTCTGGTCAACTTAACATCAGGGATCTTATAAACTAAACTCATTATGAATCAAACCGTCACAGTAGCCCAACCTTACTGTTCCCTCTTAAAATAGAAAAAAACACATTACTTTACCAGCAGAGAGATTGGTTAGTAAATTATTAATATGACGAATAAAGAGCAGTTTGATCTGCAATTCAATAATGAACAACTATGCTTTCACTGATTGTTTTTGTTTGTATTAGTGTTTTGAGTTCAGGGGCAACTTGTTTGAGAAATAAATACATTGTGTAAAAGCACTCATGATTTGTGTACATTTTAGATATTATATTCTGTTTTGGTGAAAAGCACATAATGACTCGTTTAAGACTTGTTTTTCAAAGTTTTCGACTTGCCCATCGGGACTTGGGACTTGACTCTGGACTTGGGTGCAAAGACTTGAGACTTACTTGTGACTTGCAAAACAATGACTTGGTCCAATATCTATCCTTGCATTTCTCATTATTGTACACCTGGAGTTCTATGACACTAAAGACTATCAGCAGAAACATACATACACAAACCATTTGAAATGTACTTACAGACCAAATATGTTCTGTTAACCCTATCTGTGTGTGGCTGTGCTTGTCAGGAGAGCTTGGTCCTGCTGATGAGTACAATGGTCGTGTGGACATTGAAGTGGATTCTCCTGGTCCTAGTCATGTGATCAGGAGTGTTCCCCTCAAGGCCAAATGTGGAACTGCAAGGGTCCATGCTCCTAAAGACCTGCAGGTAGTAAAACTGCCATGTTTTTTTTGTCGACTGACAGTGTATCTCTGCCCACCACTACAGTTCAAAAACATTGTTATGCATGTTTGTATCTCTGATTAGATACACCAGCTTGAATTCCATTGGCCAATTTAATTGAACTGGAAATCACTTTACCCGAACAAGGTATATTTAAAGATAATGAAAAAGAAGTAGTCTCAAAAAAGAAAATGCATGGAAAATACCTACCAATTTGGACAATAAGTCTAATCAGTTACTTCATATTTCTGTTTAAGAGCTGTAAGCCTGTAGCTTACGCAACTTTAAAATAGGTTATTTAGTTAAACTTAACTGTGAGATAGTCTTAGCCATAGAGAGGGTATCTTGCAATTGTAGTATCATCCAAATGTTTAAACAGCAGCAAGCAGATGGAGAATTAGTTTTACATCTGTACAAGTACACATGAGCACTCATGGCTTAAAACTTTGAAATGTTGCTGGGTTCTTTTTGTATATTTCAAACTGCATCTAAAAGGGTTGAAAGTGTTTCATATGATGTCAAAAGACATTGGGAAATAAAATGACTAGATCAATAATGAATACAAGCAATTTAGTTTGTATTCAAACTTTTTTATCATCATGTTCATCATCATGTTTAGTTCTTTGTTCAGCTTTTCCTGGCCTCTGTAGAGATGGCAGTAAAATACTTTTTGTGCTTCTTTTGTCTAGACTGTCAGTCTGTCTGCTCCACTGGGTAAATCTAGTCAACAGACGCTGCCATTAAAGAATGCTGGAAACATTGACGTGCAGCTGAAACTCAAGGTAATTCTGACCTTTACTTTTCCAATCAGATCTGGGGTTTGGGTAAGCCTCTGTGACATTTTGTGCTCAGACTGTGAAACATACAGTAGGGATTCATTGCTATTTAGCTACTTTTATTCTCCATCTCTTCCTCCTTGTTGCCTCCCATCATTCTCGTGCCTCATTCAAACATTTGCCCTCTCACTTATATTCCTTCTATAGTGCAGTGATGCTGAGGACATTTTTTCTGTGACACCTGATGAACTGTCCCTGAGGATGGGAGAGGAGCAAGGCATCGTGGTCTCCTTCAAAGCACAGGGCAGCAGGAAATATCAAGAAAGGTATACAAACATAAATTGCTTTTGCAGTAGTTCACATGGACAGCCATGGTTCTGTACATTGGATACAAAGAACAACATAATGCATTTGACATCTCTTATCTTTTTATATTAGGGGGATTTGATATGCTTAGATGAACAGTTCATAAGCAAGAGTCTTGGGTTATATCCTTGTATATCCCAAACATGTCACATCTTCAGTGGCCATCTTTACAACCCATTTGGATTGACTTGGTGGTGCTTGTTTTGTTGCAGCCTTCTCACCATCTTGGTGCTGCCATCAGGTCCTCAGTATGAGGTAACCCTGAAAGGCGAAGTTGTCCCAGAGGACTCAGGGAAAGCTCCCAGTCCCTCTGCTGATGTCGTTGTTCTCGCTGTGGCCAATGATGTTCCACCAATTCTCTCTAATAAACAGTTTGTAGCCTGGGGAGGAGTCACTCTGGGACGAGCTGTGTAAGTAACTTTTCCATTCATTTCATAATTTGTTTTTGTTACTAAATAAAACACTTATATAGGTATCAATTATTCATTGAAAAGTAATCCATAAAAAACCTGAAGTCCAGTCGTCTATGTTTTTCAATTAAATCTTGTGTAATGGTTTTGATAAGAAGGGACCGAAGTCTATAGGGAGTGTTATTTCTCAGAAGCAACATAATGGACAATTTCTCATTGAATGGAGGTAAAGTACTGACAGCAGTAAGGAGCTAAAATTCCCAAACACAATGTATGCATTCTTTCTCTTGGACCCAGGTTTAGCTCAGCTGTCTTATTAGGTCAGGACACAAATATAATGACTCAATATCAAATCATAGTTTGTCAAAGACATTTAGTTTGCCATGGGACTGCTGGACACATTGTTATTACATGACTTATCTGCCATTGCTTTCCAGGCAACAGAAGCTGGTTCTAAGGAACAATTCCACCGACGCCACGCAGCAGCTACGGTTGCTTATCCGTGGTCAAGACCAGGATTGTTTTCAGGTAGATTGTAATATTTGCAAATTGGAAAACATGTCATCTCTATTTTCTTTTATCTTTCTCACATCCTGTTTTTGTGTTTGCACATCCTGTCATAGTGCCATAGTTGTTTATATAAAACAGAACGGCTATACAACCCTAAAAGATGATGTGAATAATGCCCTACACTGTAACACAGTATTAAAACGTGTTTCTCTTTCAGCTGCAGAGTATGTTCAGTCCTGAAGAGCGCCTGACCCGACACGGAGAGCTGTCCATTCGTCCCAGAGAAGATGTGACCGTCCACCTGCTCTTTGCTCCCACCAGAGTGGCCTGCATGTTGGCCAAACTGGAGATTAAACAGTCTGGAGTCCGGCCTTCACAGCCAGGGGTCAAATTCACTGTGAGCACATGACCCCTGTCAGACCTGACCATTTTTACTCTCTTTTCCTGCCTCGTTTTTTTTTCATGTTTTCTTCATTTCTATTGAAAGACTGGCTTTATTTAGATTCCTTTGTGTCCTATCTTCAGATTCCACTGTCGGGCTACGGTGGGACGAGCAACATCATTCTGGAGGACCAGAGAAAACAGGCAGACGGCTATGTGGCAACATTGACTGACATCGCTGTCGGTCGTGTCAGTAAAGTGTGTATTTGCGTGAGGAACACTGGCTCCAGAGCAGCTTTCATCAAAGCTGTGGCCTTCTCAGATGTGCAGACACGATCAGTTATGGAACCCCCTCTCATCAGCATCGCCCCGTCACAGTTTGTGCTTAAGGAAAGGACACAAGAGGTAGCGAGAATTTTTATTACGGATTTGAACCACAAAAACTGATATTCTAAATGTTTCTTAAAATAAAATAAAGACACCAGAATTAGTAATTATATTAATACTAATGCAATATTAAAAAAAAGTATTTTCTGCGATTAATCTCATTGATATGCGCAACATTCAATAATGAACTCAAAAGTAGTGTATGGTGCAATTTTATTTTAAAAGTACTGCTATTTGAACAAAAGTGCAGTAACATTTGGTTTGCAAACACTTTAAAGGGGACCCAGAATGCACTTTTTGATGTCTTTTATACATAAATATGTGTCCCCGGTGTGTCAGGGAACTCACAAAGTGTCAGAAAATAAAACCCTCTCTCTTTTCCTCCGTACCCGAATCTCGAAAAACAGGGGTACAACAGAGCTGATCCAGATTTGCGTCCGATATGACGTAATATCGGACATGCGGACCCACGGCACTATCAGAAAGTTGCTATCAGAAACAATGCCCGACTGTTTTGGATGTAATATGGTCTGTGTTTATATTCGCAAGCATCGCTAACACTCAGAGCTAACCTGTACTGGAGAGCACATGTGTTTTAAAAGCAGGATATAAAAAAAGGAACTCGCCTTGTGGTAAAGCCGCAAGAGAAGAAGCATTTGAGCTCCATACTGTTTCAGAAATAATCCTTGAAGTGGTTTGGAACATGATATGGCGTTTAATCACGGCAGCATTGAGCTGAATCTGCCGGGTAATTCTGAGCAGCCATTAGTTCCCCCTCCTCTTTTTTAGTTTTTCAAGCTAAGAACCCGAACCTGCAGTTAACAGGGCTAAAACAGAGGGATATGAGGGATGTCTAAAATGCATGATCTGTTTGGTATTTTGAGCAAAACACATCATAGACATGTTTTTTTATTTATTTTTATATATCTGAGACTCATAATATATGCCTAAAAATAGCATAATAGGAGACTTTTAAACAAATAAGGTGCTTTTTGACAGCAGTATTCCCTTTCTATTTCCCCTCCCTTTTTATTTCTTGTAGATCTCAACTTCAACATTAATTAATGTTATCAAATATAAAACCAAAGCTATTTGCCAGGGCATTAACGTTTGATCTAGTTTGTTATAGAAAAACAAGTTACCCTCAATCCAGTGATAACTCTGGTTCTATCAACTCCGCCGTCTGAAGAGATGTAAATGTTCATGTAAGAGTTTGTTCATGTGAATGCTGCTGCAGCATTAGGCCCACCCCCTATGCTCTCAGTGGTTGAGATGCGTAATGTCGCCCATCCTAAGCCAATACTGATCAACATCCCACCCCTCCTGTGACCCAATGGTTTGTCTGTATGTGTATTCAAAGCCAGTGAGAAACTAACTTTCAAAATTATAATATGAATACAAAAAATGTTAATGCGCAATAAAATAATTGTCGGGGTTAATTAATTAATGCGTAGACGCGATAACGCGTTAACTTGCCCAGCCCTAAATAATAAAAAAAAAAATAAGAGAAGTAAATCATGAGACAAAAAAAATGCCCTTGATTTAGACTTAGCTAGTGTCTGTTAGCATCACATCATCAGATCAAATCGCAAATACATATTAATACTTTTTCATAGTCGTGTGGGCTGCCACTGATGACTCGCTAGCAACAAGTCCTTTATGCCCCACATGTTTTTTGTTGTGCCAAAGACAATATTACTTTATGGTGGAGGCAATGTAATTAACTAAAAAGTCTTGTATCCAATATGCAGGGCTGCCCCTGGCTAACTTGTGGCCCCACGCAAAATATCTGTGTTGCGAGAGTCAACAGGGGGAGGGGGGGGAGTTGCTAGTGGAGCACGTGCGTGAACTGCGAATGCCGGAGCCTCGCAGCGGCGAAACTGTGGCGCGCTTTATTGTGCCGCATTTTGCGCATAAGATGAGGCCCCACGCAGTCTGCGTGATCTGCGTGTAGGCAGGGCCTGCTAATATGCATAGAAATATTTTATCCATTTGTGTATTTATAAGTATATTATTTGAACAACAAATGTTTTATGTGGAAATGAAGATTGAATATCCTGTAAACAACTGCTCGCTAGAATAAAAAACTCTAATGTAGATTTATTAGAACCTCTAATTGGTATTGAATTTCTTAAATCTTGTGACATGACTGTGGAAAATGCGTTAATTATTTTTACTGCTTAAAGTATCAGTATTTGTGGCAATCTTTCACAAATTGCACAATCACATCATTGTTAACTCGTGTATGACGACCATAAGTCTAGCTTTAAACTTGAAATCCTCATTTTATATTTCAAGGAGCATTGTTAAGAGTTATCAATATGGGTTGGTGCGCTGAGGACCCAGTGATCCAGAATAATGGGACAATCCCTGCACTATAGTTTTTAATCTTTTATGTGCAGCAATTGTTCTTCTAACAAAAATATCCCTCCCACTTCTTTCAATACTGACGCGATAGCAGCTTCAACAAAAGGTTCCACAGCTTCAGCCATGTTGTTTGCTTTTGAAACAGTACTCCTTTTTAGTAGTTGGACATTTCTTGCAGAAATATGACCTTCTTACTAATATTTGTTTGTGTTTTCAGGTGATAACTGTACTAATAAAGTCCACTCAAAGAGAACAAGCCCTATGTCAGTCGGCCAATGCAATGCTGGCTACCGTCTGCCTGTTTTGTGGAGATGAGGTCTCCAGGCAGCAGTACAGGAGGTGAGGCCTTCAGACGCTTAGTTCAGTAAACTTGCTAAAAGAGTCATGTTGGCGTGTATGGGAGTAGTGGTAGTAGGAGGAAGAATGTAGAGGAAGTTGACATTTATCAAACAAGCAGTTCCTTTAATATATCCTTTATTATTTCCACAATAACATCATAGTCACGTATTATTTGTTATTCACAAATTAATATTTATGTGAAACTCCATAATTGTGATTGGCCCTGATGCAATTAAAGTTTTGCCTCAAACTACAGCCAATTTTTTCCATCATTCCAACTTCTGAAATAGCTTAAGGCAGCTTACACTAACAAGTCAACACAACTGTAGATACAGGTATACAGAATGTCATTAAGAATAAAAACAAATAGCCATTAAGAAAATCCCTTTTATTGAAAGAATTATAAAAACACATTTATTGAATTCATCATCAACATTCATTATCTCATAAGACAGGGAACAAGGTAAGGGACCGATGTTCTAACACAATATTTCCTTGATAACTTTTGAGAAAAGCAACTAAATGTAAGTGTATGTAGATATACTGTTTTTCTTTCAATAAAACATGCAGTTTAGGAACATTTCCCAAAAAATAAATCAAGGACAAACTATCAAGGTCCAAAAAAAATACAAAACTGCAGGATATATATAGATGTAGCTTTATTTAGGAATTTCATTATTGTTGTCAATGGTTACCCAGATGGCTGAGTGAAACAGTCGATGCATTAGAGGTTCCCCTTTAATAACAAGTCGGCAAAGATGTGTCCATCTCTATGGGCCCCCGATTGGCCCCCAGCTGCCCGGTTTCAACAGCTTTGAATTAATACACATTGTTTAGCAAACTTTTAAACGCGTTTATAGTTTGTACATCCAATTCCAGATGGTTCTGCTTTTGTAAGAAAGCTGTTTTCTCTTTTCAGATTGCTTCAGAGCAAACCGGAGGCTGTGAAGAAGGCTCTGTCTGAAAACAGTCTGCTGAAAAACATCAATTTCTATGAAACGTTTTTGGGAGAAGAAAACCTTACAGAGGGTAAGATGTCTTTATTGTGCTACTCGTATATATATATATACACACACATATATATATATACACACACATATATATGTATATGTATATGTATATGTATATGTATATGTATATGTATGTGTATATATATATATATATATATATATATATATATATATATATATATATATATATACATACACATACACATACACATACACATACACATACACATACACATACATACAAATAGAAAACGTTTTTAAAGAAGTTTTCGCAAATGTGTTAAAAATAATAAAATGAAATATCACATGTACATAAGTATTCCCACCCTTTGCTATGACACTGAAAAATTGAGCTCGGGCGCATCCCGTTTCCACTGATCATCCTTCAGATGTTTCTATAACTTGACTGGAGTCCACCTGTAGTCAATTAAATAGATTGGACATGACTTGGAAAGGAACACACCTGTCTATATGAGGTCCCACAGTTGACAGTGCACATCAGAGCACAAACCAAGTCATGAGGTCCAAGGAATTGTCTGTAGACATCAGAGGCAGGATTGTATCAAGGCACAGATCTGGGGAAGGGTACAGAAAAATGTCGGCAGCATTGAACGTCCCAACGAGCATATTGGTTTCCATCATTTGCAAATGGAAGATGTTTGAAACCACCACGACTCTTCCTAGAGCTGGCCGCCCAAACCAAACTGAACATCGGGGGAGAAGGGCCTTAGTCAGAGAGGTGACCAAGAACCCGATGGTCACTCTGACTGAGCTCCAGTGTTCCTCTGTGGAGATGGGAGAACCTTCCAGAAGGACAACCATCTCTGCAGCACTCCACCAATCAGGCCTTTATGGTAGAGTGGCCAGAAGGAAGCCACTCCTCAGCAAAAGGCACAGGAAAGCCCCCATGGTACACCTAGAGGACTCTCAGACCATGAGAAACCAAATTGTCTGGTCTGATGAAACCAAATTGTCTGGTCTGATGAAACCAAATTTAGCCTGAATGCCAAGCATCATGTCTGGAGGAAACTAGGCACCGCTCATCACCTGGCCAACACCATCCCTACAGTGAAGCATGGTGGTGCAGCATCATGCTGTGGGGATGTTTTTCAGCGGCAGGAACTGGGAGACTAGTCAGGATCAAGGGAAAGATAAATGCAGCAATGTACAGGAAGATCCTTGATGAAAACCTGCTCAAGAGCGCTCTGGACCTCAGACTGGGGCGAAGGTTCACCTTTCAACAGGACCCTAAGCACACAGCCACGATAACAAAGGAGTGGCTTCAGGACAAGTCTGTGAATGTCCTTGAGTGCCTCAGCCAGAGCCCAGACTGGAACTGGATTGAATATCTCTGGAGAGATCTGAAAATGGCTGTGCACCGACGCTCCCCATCCAAGCTGAGGGAGCTTGAGACAATCCGCAAAGAAGAATGGGAGAAACTGCCCAAAGATAGGTGTGCCGATCGTGTGGCATCATGCTCAAGAAGACTTGAGGCTGTAATTGCTGCCAAAGGTGCTTCAACAAAGTATTGAGTAAAGGGTGTGAATACTTATGTTTATGTGATATTTTAGTGTTTTATTTTTTATTCATTTGCAACAATTATTTTGAAACTGTTTTCACTTTGTCATTATGAGGTATTGTGTGTAGAATGTTGAGAAAACAAATGAATTTAATCCAAATTGAAATAAGGCTGTAACATACAAAAATGTGGAAAAAGTGAAGGAGTATGAATACTTTCCGGATGCACTGTATATGTGTATGTGTATGTATATGTATTCACATATATATGTATTTATAGATTATTATAAAGGTACAGAAAACATAGTAAAAAATAATAGATTTAATTTAAGAATGAAGTTGTAATACATGTCTAAAATATTGACGTTTCTAAATGTATTGACCTTTTTTTTTAAGTCTACGACCTGCCTCAGCGGCCCAATGAAGCTCACATTTTCTATGGAAATATGAGTAAGGTAGTGGTGTCGTTGGTTGGAAGTACGAACAGTGAGCTGCTGCCCGCTGATAAACACAGAGCAGAGACAGACAGGTACTGCCACACTCATTTCCAACATACTGATACACAAATAGATACCTGATTTAGTTTATCATTACATTTAATTTAGCTGACACTTTTATCCAAAGCGACTTACAATAAGTGCATTCGACCAAGAAGATACAAACTTGAAGACGTTTTTTTTTTTTTTTTTTTCATTTTATTGCGTGAAGTGGAGACTAAAGGGCCAGAACCATTCACAGCATTGTACGCAAGTACCAGTGTCTTGAAGTGGATTTTAGCAGTTACTGGAAGCCAGTGAAGGGAGCGGAGGAGCGGCGTGGTGTGGGAACATTTAGGAAGGTTGAAGACCAGACGAGCTGCTGCATTCTGGATGAGCTGCAGAGGTCGAATGGCACATGCAGGTAGACCAGCCAGGAGGGAGTTGCAGTAGTCTAGGCGTGAGATGACGAGAGCCTGGGCCAGAACCTGCGTCGCTTCCTGGGTCAGGTGCGGACGTATCCTCCTGATGTTGTAAAGGGTGTATCTGCAGCAGCGGGTTGTTGCAGCAATGTTTGCAGTGAAGGACAGTTTGTTATCTAGGGTCACACCCAGATTCCTTGCAGTCTGAGTTGGGGAAACAACAGAGGTGCCGATGTTGATTGTTAGGTCAAGAGTGGGACAATCTTTTCCCGGAAGGAAAAGCAGTTCAGTCTTGTCAAGGTTGAGCTTGACGTGGCAAGCAGACATCCACTGAGAGATGTCAGCTAGACAAGCAGAGATGCGTGCGACGACCTGGGTTTCAGAGCGGGGAAAAGACTAAATTAATTGAGTGTCATCAGTGTAGCAGTGGTATGAAAAACAATGCGGGCTAATGACAGATCCGAGCGAGTTTGTGTACAGAGAGAAGAGGAGGGGACTGAGGACAGAGCCCTGAGGGACCCCTGTAGATAATTGACAAGGGTCGGACTCGGACCCTCTCCAAGTTACCCTGTAGGTGCGGTCTTTGAGGTAGGAGGTGAGGAGGGAAAGTGCAGAGCCTGAAACTCCTGGAGAGTGCGAAGGAGGATCTGATGGTTCACCGTGTCGAATGCAGCAGACAGGTCCAAAAGGATGATGACAGAGGAGAGGGAGGCTGCTTTAGCAGTGTGCAGTTCCTCAGAGACCGCAAGGAGAGCAGTTTCTGTGGAGTGACCTGCCTTGAAACCAGACTGGTGCGGATCCAGAAGGTTGTTCTGATGGAGATAACAGGAGAGTTGTTTAAAGACAGCGCGTTCAAGTGTTTTAGACAGGAACGGGAGGAGAGAGACAGGCCTGTAGTTTATAACATCAGACGGGTTGAGAGTGGGTTTCTTTAGGAGAGGGTTTACTCTTGCCTCCTTGAGACTGTTTGGAAAGTGACCAGAAGTTAGAAAAGTATTGATGAGATGGGTGAGAAACGATAGAATATCAGGAGCGATAGTTTGAAGGAGGTTTGAGGGGATAGGGTCCAGAGGACAAGTGGTAGGACGGGCAAAGGTAATGAGGGTAAGAACCTCACTTGGAGAGAGAGGGGAAAAAGAGGTTAGTATGTGGGTGAAAGGTGGGTCTGGTGACCCAGTGGTGACTAATGGTGAGTCTGAAAAAAAGGTTGATATTCGTTCTTCATTTTCTAAGTAGTTAACAAAGTCGCTTGGAGGAGGGGCAAGGGGGGTCAAGGAGGGTGGAGAAGATGGAGAATAGTTTTTGGGGATTGGTGTAGGAAGAATGGATCTTATCTTGAAAGAAAGTGCTTTTTGCCTGAGAGATCGAAGAAGAGAAAGAGGAGAGGAGAGCCTGATAGGTTAGGAGGTTATCAGGGTGTTTGGATTTCCACCATTTGCGCTCTGCAGCCCTAAGGATGGTTCTAGAGTTTCTGCAGCAGAGTTTGAACGAGTCAGAGGAAGGGAGGGCTGAGAGCACCGATGAGGTAAGAGTAGAGGGGGAGAGGGAACGAAGGTTACGGCGGACAGGTGCAGAATTAGAAGAGATTAGTTTGTTATGTTTGGAAAGGGTTAGAGAGAATGATAGGAAAAAGTGATCCGAGGTGTGAAGCGGGTTTACAGAGAGGTTAGAAGTAGTGCAGTTCCTTGAGAATATGAGGTCAAGGACATTGCCAGCTTTATGAGTTGGTGGGGATGGAGACAGTGAGAAAGCAAAGGCGGTTAAAATAAATATTAATTCAGATATCTTCTCTGTCTGGAGGTTGAAGTCTCCGAGAAGTACAGTGGGAGGGCCAGTTTCAGGGATGTGTGAGAGGAGATGATCTAATTCCTCCAAGAAGTCCCCCAAGGCGCCTGGTGGACGGTGTAGAACAACAATGGTTAATTGTATAGGATGGGTTACTGTGACGGCATGGAATTCAAAGGAGGAAGGAGAGAAGTTTGGTATTGTAATGCTTCTCCGTTATACATTTATCTCATCCATTTGGGATGTACATGGCTTTAGCATACACTCTACTTAAGACGCACACTGATTTGGAAATAGAAATACTGTCTGTTCATAGGTCTGTGCATTCTTTATGGTGAACGCATTTAAATGAAATATATCACCTGGGCCACAGTTGTTTTTATTGTTTATTTTGTGATTTCCAGTGCTTTGACAAATGGCAATGTGTCTCTGGACGTGCTGCCAGTGAAAGGTCCCCAAGGTCCAGCACTGAGAGTGGCAGAGCCAACCTTAAAGGTACCATAAGGCTTCTTTAATGATACCACTTTAATGATGAGCTGAGTGTTGAATATCTATGTGCTGTTTCTACTGTTTTAGATGATTTTTTTTTTTTTAATCTGCATATGGCATAAAATATATATTTTTCAATGCAGAGTGTCCCTCCACAGGCTTCAGAGCCATTACACAGGCGGTCTGAGTCCTGGACCCTCCACCCAGAACAACTTGTCCTTGCAGCTCCCACCATCAGTAAGTAGGAAATATATATGTTAAAAGCATATTGTGTGAAATTTTAACAGCTTAGTTTTAAATTGCACTACAGATTTTGAGTATGATTGGTGAAGCAAGTTACTCTAAACCATAGGTTTATGATTCTGCATCAGAGAGTTATTGGCAGAGGTGTGGACTCGAGTCACATGACTTGGACTCGAGTCGGACTCGAGTCGGACTCGAGTCACCAATTTGATGACTTTGGACTCGACTTGACAAAATCACAAAACACTTGCGACTCGACTTGGACTTGAACACCAATGACTCAGGACTTGACTTGGACTTGAGCCCTCTGACTTGAGGTGACTTGATAATTTAATTCAGGGGTCTCCAACATTTATTATTTAATATTTATTTTGCTGAGCCACCATGCGGCCAATCATATGCGAGGACACACTAGGATCATACCATTATGTGAAAGAAGGGTGGGGGGCAGACGCTCCAAAGACAGCAGGTGTAGTGGTACAGGCCAGCTACACAGAGTGACGGGGAGCCGGATTTAAATGCAAGCGCGTCGGAAAAAGTCAAGAAATTTGCGAAAACCGAAAAAAGAAGCAGCTTCTGGCTGCATTTCAATGATCTTGGAGAAAGCAAAGCTGAGTGCAGGATTTGTAAAATGAAAATAACCTTCAGAGCAGGGTTTTTTTTTTGGTAACCACTCAGGATTTATTGCCAGAGGTGGGAGAAGTTCAGATCTTGTACTTGAGTAAAAGTACCAGAGTGTAGGAATACTCGGTTACAATAAAAGATCCTGCATTCAAAATGTTACAAGTAAAAGTACAAAAGTATTAGCATCAAAATATAGTTAAAGTACCACCTGCAGAGGGATCTAGATTCAGGTGTTCTTTTCCCCATAGAGACCGCCTCGCTGCACATTATCCCTTGCATAAAGATAGATTGTGGGTCCCTTATAACATGTTGTACACAGTGGAAATAAACATTCTGGTTACCTCAACATCAGGGATCTTATCCATTAAACTCCTTCTGAATCAAACCGTCACGGTAGCATTACCTTACTGATCCCTCTTACAATAGAAGAAAACACGTTACTTTACCAGCAGAGAGGAAATGGATTATTAAATGATTAATGTGACTAATAAAGAGCAGTTTGATTATTAAGTATTATTCTGTTGATCGATGTCATTACATTTGTTGAAAAGCACATAATGACTTGTTTAAGACTCGTTTTGTCAAAGTTTAGGACTTGGACTTGACTTGAACTTTCCCATCCTGACTTGAGACTTGACTCGGACTTGAGCGCAAAGACTTGAGACTTGACTCGGACTTGCAAAACAATGACTTGGTCCCACCTCTGGTTATTGGTACACAGCGGCAGACCTTTGTTTTTTACTGTTGTTGTTTGTAGATGGTGCGGCCTCCACTAGTCAGGTTCAGATCCGGAACAATACTTCCAGAGAGCTGAGCTTCGATCTGTCCTGGCCCGCTCACTGCCTCACCATCACCCCTCAGCATGGAGTTATTGAGCCTCAGTAAGAATACACATTGTTGTTCGATCAAAATATTGGTTATGGTAAAAGCAAAGCTATTGGGTTAGAATTAGAGCCCATGTATTTAATGCGACAATTTGTTATGTTTGTAATTACCACACTGTCAACATAGCTTCAATAAACAACTAATTACAAAGAGAAAATCCAATGCTAATGTTATCCTCTGTCACTGTGTGTATATGTGATTGGAATTATTGTGTCCTATTTTTATGTCATTTAAAAAAAAAAAGGTGCCACCTACAGATTTTGATCAGCCCCAACCCCTCACTAGCAACTAAATCTACCCTGCTGCCATGGAGTGGACAGATTTATGTCCAGTGCGACAGTCAGCAGAAGGTATGGAACACTTGGGACACACCGCTTTATAAACCTCAAGACAACTCAGGCATGCATTGCTGTGAGAACCTAAGACCTGAATGTGTGTGTTGTGACTGCTGTTTCAGTTGATTAAGGTCCAGATTCGTGGGGACCTGGCTTTGGATGTGTCCGCAGCCCCAGCAGACTCCACTCTGTCAGCCCTGCCTGCTCAGGCTGCCACTCCAGTGCTGACTGTGCCCAGACTCACTGTCCAGCCGTCACTACCCCAGCACACCCCACAGGCTCCTCTAGCCCTGCTGGAGATCAGCAACAAGACCATCATGTTCCCCAGCACTCCTTCAGGGGAAACATCAGGTTTGGAGGAGGCTGACCGCAGCTCAAACCTTTCTGTCTTCTATATCTGGGTTTGAGCGTTACAGCAACATGTTGTTGGCAATCTGAGCAGCCTTAAAACAATGATTTAGAAGCCTGATAATGTGAAAACGGTTTGAAATCTTCAGACTAATGTGGTTCTCAGTAATGCTCTGTAGGCAGCATACTATGTTTTGTGTATCTGTCGGAGACTTATACTCTGTTTTTCTACTTCAGAGGCCCAGCTGGAGGTGCAGAATGGGAAAGTGGAAGTGAGGTGGTACCTGTCATCATTTGCTCCTCCATATGTCAAGGTGCTTTTTCTTTTTACAATTTCTTTCTTCTGTCAACTCTTCAAGAATCAGCGGCTTTAACTTGTTAGTTTATTTATTTTCTTTTTTCATTTAGTTAGTCTCTGTGTATCCAAAAGATCCATCATTTGTTTCATGATTCACTTTGGTATTGTGTTTATCTTGTAAGTTTTGCTGGATGTTGTTGTTCAAACATCCATCAGTGTCTTTTTACCGGGCATTGAGTGAAAGCAGTGACTCAGGCTGTAGTCTCTTTTCTCTCCACAGGGGGTTGACAACACAGGAGATGTTTACCGGGCCACTTACACTGCCTTTAGATGCTCCGGGGCCTCAGGCACTCTGGGGGCCCATGAGAAGATGCAGGTAGGCAATCACAACCAATTAGAGTTGTCTGTAAATTGTATAGAGTACTTTATTTTACAAGGATGGGACAACATTGACTGCTTATGTTGTGGGTTTCTACTAGACAAATATATTGTGATCCTGGCCAATCTTGGGTAAGAATAACCAATAGTAACCCATACTCCATTTACAACAGCTACTTTTATTTAATGGAGGCCAGCTTAGGTTATGTTATGTCAAGTTAAACAAATTATGATTAGATTTATTTTAAGCGTTTTGTTGGTTAATGTGTATAGCAATAATTGATATGGCTTAATCTATTCTGACTGTTCTTGTTTTCTTGCTCTTCCAGGTGCCTATTACTTTTCTGCCCAGGGACAGAGGGGACTACGTCCAGTTCTGGGACTTGGAGTGCCACCCTGTGTCTGAGCCTCAGCAGAAAACCAGAATCCGCTTCCAACTCTGTGGCACTGTGAGGACTCATTTTAAGTTATGCCATAATAAATAGAGAAAAATGGGTAAAGTAGTAAAGGACAACGTGATTTATGTTGGACGTTTCATTTAGCTTGAAATACGGTTATCCAAATGACTGTTCAATCTTCCTTTTTTATGTTAATAGCCGCTTTCACACCAAGTACTTTGCCGTACTCAGTGCCCCGGCACTTAGTACCCCTGGGCACTAAGTACCAATCGCGTTCACACCGGAGTGCTTTTCCCTGAGGGAAGATTACGCAAATGAGCCGCTGACGTCACTTCGTCGTCTTCTGCTTTGGGTTTACTGGCATGCCGCAAACCACTTCACGGTGTATACTGCCACCCGGAGTCCCCGGCCGGAAGTCCCCGGAGTTGGGGACTTCCGGCCGGGTAAATCGCCAGAACGCCAACACCTCCTCATCACTCCACCGCTCCCATGTTTTTTTTTGTGTTGCCATAAGTTATTCTCTCTCTGTTGGTGCGCGGGGCTAATGCTAATGCTAATAATGCTAATGCCAGCAAATACAATGGCGGCTTCAAAAAACTTTTCAGAGTTTTACGGGGCGTGGTTTGCAATTCGCCCAGCCAATAGAAATTGGTACTTTTTTGGTACCACCTCTCTAGCAGGCACTTAAAATGGGGGTAAAAGTTCCCGGCACTAAGTACTCTTTTTGCTGTGAACGCGACATCAGGGGTACTAACGGAACTAAACGGGAAAAGTACGGGGAAAAGTACGGGGAAAAGTACTCCGGTGTGAACGCGCCTAATGTATTGCTAGCAAACCTTAGGAGACAGATATGTAAATATTTACTGAAAAACATTGTAGATTTTGCGCTATTACCTTAATCTGTTTCTGTAGTACCTTGAATATGGTTTAGTAGTGTTGGTGGCAGACCTAACAAATGAGAAAAGTGTGTTGTGAGATAGTAAGCAGAGCCCCCCTGCTGAGATGAGCCTGCAGGCTTTGCATGTGCGCCGCTTTAATGTGAAGTGTTGTGACAGACCCAGTTAACATAAGAGCATACATACACAGCTAGAGGGATGTCAGATAGATGGCTCCACATAAGTAGGTTAAGTGGCTATGATGTGAGGGCTTTTGTTGTTGTTGCCTTATGTCTTAAAGTGTGCAACATCCTGCAGAGTGTTAAATGCTAATCTGTGACTACAGGCTGCAATACTTTGATTTAGATCTGTAACTCACAGTGGGATGTGGAACTGAATATGCAAAATGTTTCACATTTGGTTTTTATCATGTCTGCATACGATTGAGTAATGATGTTTCTTACAATCAGTTTAACAAAGTCTAATGTGTCCAAATGCAAGATACACTTAAAACATGAAGAGCGGATATTTTCTCAACTGTATTGTAGTAACCAGGTTTTTAATTAGTATGGAGATGGCAGCTAGCATGTTTCTTTTGTCTAGCCAAAATCCTAGTGTGTGTGTGTGTGTGTGTGTGTGTGTCCGTGTCCCCAAAGGGAGTAAAGTCTGGAACAGTGGCAGGACCACAGGAAGGAGACTGCTCTCTGGTGAAGACGGAGGCCACAGTGAAGAGCAGGAAGAGAGCTGAGGCCTCTGCAGGCAAAACCAGGTGAGTCCACTCCAATAGTCCTTTTGCTTGGGAAGGTCTGTAACTGTAGGAAGTAGCAGCCATGCTTTAGAGTAGGTTTCTCATCTTGAGGTGATGGTTCTCCTTAATCCCACAATGTATAATTGTCAGTGAGGAGGAGGCCGTGCGGAGGGGTGTGTATTCTCAACAGGATCTGTACACCTTCCCAGTGACACGGGTGGGTGAGTCCAGCACTCTGAAGGTCAACATCCGCAACAACTCATCCGACACACATGAGGTGAGGTTGCCTGTTTTGAAGATGACATAAGAGAGAAACATTTTTCCTTTCTCATTTACTGCAGCAGAAATTGAAATGATCTATCTATCTATCTATCTATCTATCTATCTATCTATCTATCTATCTATCTATCTATCTATCTATCTATCTATCTATCTATCTATCTATCTATCTATCTATCTATCTATCGAAACCAAAGAAATTGGACTGTCTTTGGTTTCAGTAGTTTCTGGAGATGCGAACAGGTTAAATGGGTTAAAAATCAGCAGAAAGTGAGAGGAACAGTGCTTTATACTAACTCGCATTGTGGACACTGTTTTTCCACATGCCTATACAAATTGCATGACTCTTGACTTGTACTGAATGATAAATGTCAAACCCCTAAATAATCGTAATTATGTTTTGCATGGATTTGATATTTGATGTGTGGCTTCTCTAATTGACTTGCAGCTGAAATTTGTAAACCCTATGGAACCCTTCCACATCAAGCATTCCAAATATTCTCTGAGGTGAGTCCAATGGTCATTATCCCTGGCTCCTTTCTGCATTTTCATAGTGTTACGCCCCGGTCTAGGGGAACCTAGGCGTAGCATAAAATCGCACATTCTCCCCACTCTTCCCACTCCCAAGAAAAAGTCGGTACACAGGCGACATAATGACCCAGGGTCATAACAATAGTAGACAGGTGAAGCATTAGGAATCCATCTTTATAATAAGTACCTTCTCCTGTTTTTACTTGTTACTGTGCTTCCATGTTAGGGTTGTTGTGTTAATCTGTTAGAGATGTTTTTTTATGTAAATTCTTTCATGCAACAAAATAGGAATAGTAAATACTATGTTTTTTTTTTGTTTTTTTTTTTTACAAGTCTTTTTATTTCATTATAGTGTACAGTAATCGATGCTATTTCATTTATATTGTAATATCACAGTACACTCACTACACTCCCCCCTCCCTCCCTCCACCCACACATACCCGCACAGGCAAAACCAAAAAATGCTTATCAATATAACTTAAACAACAGAGCCATGAAAATAAACATAAAAAGAAAAAGGAAAAAATAGAACCAAAAAATAAATAAATAAAAAATAAAATAAAAACTATGTGATGTAAACTTAGTTTGTTTAATGTTATCTTCCCATTGTGACTGCTCACTGTGGGAGGTTCTGTGAGATATTGGGACCAAGAGGATAATGTTTCTAAACATAGTACACACCTGAGGCCTGTACTACGAAGCTGGTTCAACCTAACCTGGATATGTTTGAGTTAGCCGGTTGGCCCAATCCAAAACATACGCGCTCTCGCTAAGCTGTACTACGACGCTGGTTATCAAGTGGATCGCTCAAGCCAGCCGTGTCCTATCTAGTTAGGTGCGCGTTCACATGAAAGGGGTGGTATTTGGAGCATTCGACCAATCACAAACATGGACAAGCGTACTGACAGCGCAGCGTCATACTTCCTGAATGAAAAGTCAACTTTAATATTAGTCAAATATGAAGAAGTTAAACTTTAAACATCCATGACTTAAACACTTTATCCAGGATAAAAGCCACATAGCTGCACCTGCAAGGTGAATACAGCTGGTAAAAGAAAAAGTGTTTGAATGCGTACATTAACAGGTTTATGATATCACTGCCCCGTCCAAGACACGATCTGACTTTAATTACATTTGACTTGAGTGTTTCGTCAACTTAATGTGTTGCTTAAAAGAATACTTCTGCATACAGTATGTGACACTGTGAGTGTTGCACGGCCAGATACGGCTCAGCTGACTCAAATAAGGAAATATATGATACATTATGATGTGATGTGATATGAATGATAATGGGACACATCGACGTCTGCACTCACAGTGCCGCGGACTGTACTTAATGTTACTCTGATCCGGTTACTTATGTCGTGGCAGATATTTAAGTAAGCTTTCTTAACGCTAATATTATAATAGTCAGATTGCTCTGAAGATGGGAGGGGATATTCTATTCATTTTCACGTTCACACAGTCAGTTGATTTTTGCCGGCCGTCTTTCCTGCAACGGCAGTTTTTCTGTATTTCCTCTATCCTGTAATATGACTTGATCGCTTTAAACTCCGCACACGGAGCTCTGATTGGTCAGCAGGCGGTGCTTTCACTGAGTTGATCTCTTAGCCTGCAACCTAACCTGCTCCGGAGGAGGTTAGCCGCTCAGCATAAGTTACCATGGAGATCTAGCCCGCTAAAAAGAGAACCAGCGTCGTAGGACCGGGAAGCCAGAGATTTCCCTGAAGTTAGCCGGCTAAGAGAAAATCCGGCTTCGTAGTACAGGCCTCTGGTAGAGTACTGATGTAATGCCCAACTAAAGTGTGTGTGTGTGTGTGTGTGTGTGTGTGTGTGTGTGTGTGTGTGTGTGTGTGTGTGTGTGTGTGTGTGTGTGTGTGTGTGTGTGTGTGTGTGTGTGTGTGTGTGTGTGTGTGTGTGTGTGTGTGTGTGTGTGTGTGTGTGTGTGTGTGTGTGTGTGTGTGTGTGTGTGTGTGTGTGTGTGTGTGTGTGTGTGTGTGTGTGTGTGTGTGTGTGTGTGTGTGTGTGTGTGTGTGTGTGTGTGTGTGTGTGTGTGTGTGTGTTTATGAATACAGTGTTTTAAAGTTGAATTGAAGTCTAGCAAGTCATGATTCATAAAGGGAAATCCTAAGTACTTGATTTTAGTTTTGTGATGTGTGATTTGCGTGTACATCTGTGCTGGTGCATGTGATGTATTCATGCTCAACATTTAATATCAAAATAATTGTCTACTGTCCATAATGTAACTGGCCAATAACAGCTCTTCTCCTTTCCCACCCATTAGATCACAACACTATCTGAAGCTACCTGTCCAGTTCAAGCCCAGTACTGCAGGCACAGAGGCTGGTGTGCTGCTCATCCAGTCAGAAACAAGTGGAAGGCTTGTGATACAGCTGACCGGTGAGGCATCGCCTTGAACCTATGACACTTCCTCATGCTGGCTGGCTGGATTTGGAGGGATGCTCTTCCCTGTACTCTTCATCATGGGACAAACAAGAGGGAACCAGAGGAAAATAACTACAAATAAAGCAACCATAGACTTAAACCTGTCCCCATCATCATATTTTGAGGTTAGCTATATGGCTCCTCTGATGTATTTGGGAATATTTGCTGATGAACTGGAGATGACTGAGCCTCTGCTGCCAACACAGAGCCTTCTGCCTCAGAATGTGGCACAGGTGTCCTCAGCTCGGTGTCCTCCTCGGCCCATGAACAATGATGAGGTCTGAAGCTGAATGATTTGGCCTGACTGGCTCACAATTAGTCTGCACAACTATGACATTTCACAATGCGAATGATGGTTGTCCCTTCACTGTGGATCTGGTATTTGCCTCATCACCGAGTCATATCATAAGTCAGCCCCCCGTTAGACATTACTGGTTGCGATACGTTAGGCACTACTTGGAGTTGTTTACACAGGAATGTTTTTGTCTCTGATTTGATTCTTTTAATTTGCAATGTTGCACAGTATTAATGTGAAAAAGGGGCTAAATTAATTTCTTGTAACCTTGTGATAGTAAGACTACTGGGATTTATGAATTCTGCTTTTTCAAAAATGTCAAATGTAAGTCTGTCTACATTGCACTAAATGTTCCTGTTCTTCTATAATGGTGTGGTTTCTATGGAGATGGCTTCTCATCCTGTGGAGGCCACCTGCACAGTGGCCTTCATCAGCCCCATGTGTTGACTTCCCAGCATCTTCCAAGACTCCTTCCGAACAGTCCAGATGTATTTAATTTGGACCTGATCAGTGACGCTCACAGCAATTTTCGAATGGTTAATGATTGTTATTACATGCTAACAGAGTTTCATCTGGCGGGGGGTTTTGTTTGGCAGCTTGCCAGGCCTGCTTAGGTTGGTTACCATGGCAAAACAGTGTTAATCACAGTTCCAGTCACAGAACATTACATCCCAATTTCCTCTTATGGCTCTGGGGCAAATGTTAAAAATTGCCTGGGGTATTGGATACACATCCATTGTTGATTTTGGAGCTCGAATGGCTAGACATTTCATCTTCATGAGTTGTCAACCTTTGACATGCCTCGCACTGTCAACCCTAAGGAAGTGAATAACACTAGAGATGAGCATTATTTCCCTGCTAGTAGACCTTTCAAGTCTTCTTATGAAGGCAGAATATTTTCAAAGGCAGCTCTCAACATCCCCTGACAACAACCCTGAAACATTTAGATTTACAATTTGCACATGCATTAAATATAATATAATGTAATATATTGTATGTTCACATTTTGAATAAAGTTTTGTCTTAAAAAAGGTTGTCTGTTTTTAAGTAGCAAAGATTGGGGGTGTAAAAATAAGACCGGTAGCTTTCTGTTTCTCTGACTGGACTCTGCTTGTGTTGTTTAGAGGATAATAAAAGCAAAAACACCAAGTACATCTTAAAACGTAATACACAACTTTAAACAAAAAGATAATGATTAAAACAGGATTTGAACAGCATGAAAACCAGTTTTGATACCATGCAGCACATAGTTGCTGTCAATATTCAAAACAACTGAGTGAGTAACATTGCACCTGCCCTGTCTTTCATTAAGTCTGTTCAACATCAAAGCATGTACACAATTCAAGGTGTTTTGCCACTGATTTTGTTTCGAAACGCACTCAGCACCACACAGGACTGAGTGTTCTGAGATCCACGCTAATTTCAGATCAAATGGGATCTTACTTTCATTATTGTTGCTCCTAACTGGAAAAGTCTTCCGCCTCAGTATATCACACTAGTAAAGACTGGCATTAACTAACCATGTTGAATTTTTACTCCAATAGTTTATGATCTGTTACTATATTGTTGTATTTTCTCTATTGTAGCATCTCCCTGAGTCCCCTCTTAAGTAAGATTCGATTTTTTTTCCCCCTTTGCATCTGTTTTGTACAGTACCATAGAGATATCGTTTATTTACTCGTGGTAACATCTGACTTGCAAAAGATCTTTTGAAGAAATAACAGGAAATTCCCCTTTTAAAATGTTCTGAAGCAAGACTTCCAACACTAGGGGTTAGGGCGGCACAATTAAAACAATTCAAATGAAACCACAAAATTGACAAGAGCAAAATTGTAAATAATATATTCAGTGATAATGAGAAACATTATGCAAACATGGTCAATCACTGTTATCTCGTGAATCATATCGCAAGCATTCAACATCATCGCAGACAGTTGGTTGAGTCTTCCAGATCTTGCAGCCTCCCTCTAATGCTGTTATATCTGATCCTGTGATCTGCAGCTGACCTGTGACCCGGTCAGCGGGCTGCTATACTGAGAGCGGCCTGCAGGGGTCGCCAGAGCCCCTTCCTCACCGCGCTGTCAGTGGCAGCTCAGCTTTATGTTGCCCCCCCTCACTCGAAACCACTGTAGTGCAGTTGGACTTGGCGTCTGAACACACCATCACAGACTGTAAACCACCAGACCCGAAGCCTTAGCACGTTAGCGGCTGCATTAACAGGTAGGAGCCTGCCACACTTATTTCTGTACATTGTTATATATGCCTGCAATACGCTGGAGGACTCTTTGGTTGTGCTAGCGGGTGTGATTGATTGATTGATTGAAAAGTTTATTAACAGCTTGTATATTGGGTACAGTACAGTACAGCTCAAAACATACAATTGTTAAGGGGATGCAGACCAGAGAAAGACTTTCGTCTTGTTTACATCAGGGTCCCCCATTTCCAATTCATCATATCATTTAAGACATATAAGACATATTTGACATACAGATGGCTTATTTACAATTTACATACAGGTGGTTTTTTACATACAGATGGCTTATTTACAATTTTCATTTTAGATTTCGTTCTAATACATCCTAACCGGACATTTAAGACATACCAAGTCTACAGATATACAGTTAGTAACAGAGTCTAAAATGCGAGTATATACATAGATGGGGGGGGGAAGCTGTCCATTGTACGACAGGTTGAGATTTGTACCATTACCGGGGCCAGTTTTGCAATGCTTTCCCCCGAAGGTGCTCTTTAAGAGAGGTTTTGAAGGTAAGTATAGTGGCTACCGTCGCCTGACTGTCCGGCGCGGGCTCTGCCGACTGAAGTTGCGGACAGAGTTGGGGCTCCTTCCAAGCTGCGCCAGACAGCACAGCTAAGCTAATACGCCTAAGTTAACAGCTAGCTTTGACTGTCATCCTTTCATCGGGGCCACAGAACCACATAACCCCGCTGTGGCTGCCCCCCTGTGGGGGACCGTGCACCTCCACTGACCTAGACCTTCAGCCCCTCTCTCTCACCCTGAGAGTGGTGACACAGAGGTGGGGTTTGTTCTGCCTGTCTGCTGTGTCTGTCTTCCCTGTTTGATATGATGAACAAGCTAGCTGGGAGGCTATATTATATCTAATAGCACGAGCTGTCACTCATGTGTTAGGCCAGGGGCTGCCCAGCTGTTTATGCAAAGTATGAAAGTACCTCTATCCACTCAGACAGATCCTCTCATCATCATCTTTAGGTGATGAAGGTTACATTAACAGTCCCCATCCACATTTCACCCTGCCACATATGGCCATGTTAAAATTATGTTAATATTGGCATATCTGAATTTTCTGTATCATATCAACATCTGCAACCTGCTACAACAAAAGTTATCCTCTTTCTGTTGCAGATATTTGCAAATTCAAACATTCTCAAGATAGATTTAGCATCCACCACAACTCACCATGCCGTGTTGCAGACTTTGACCTAAAGCTGACAACGGTCTCATATTAAAAAGCGGGCTGCTTGTGTTTCTGTTCATCAGGACATCATATGACCAGCAGATGCTGTGTGAACGCTCTACGTTAGTCAGTGGACGTCCGACAACATGCACACTAACTTATATTGCAGCTGTAGGCTATACTTTGGTTTACATTGCGTGAATAAACTAGCTAGAGAGCTACAGTTAATTACATTCATCCAATGTCAGAAGGATTACCTTTTAACAAATGTTGTAATGCTTTTCTTTCATTTCAATTTGAGTAAAACATTGAAGATATAACATTGTATTGTTTTCTTTTTACACTGACTCAGATATAATGAAAAGACTACGTCAGTCGAAGCTCAGCTTTGGTTAGGAAGAGACAGGACAGAGAGAAAGAGAGAGAGAGAAAGTGATGGAAGTCAGGGAGGAACTGCAGGTACAGGCACACAAAAGAATGTAGGCTTAATAACCCCATCTACCTACCTACCTACCTACCTACCTACCTACCTACCTACCTACCTACCTACCTATCTATTTATCTATAACAATAGTCTTCATTTACAATATAGACAATAGGCATCATTTTAAAACAACATATATCTATTGCAGTTATGTCATAATAACATACAATTGTATAAAACCACACAATTTGCTTACATCTTTGTTCTCTTTTGAGAATCAAACACAACAGATTTAAATAAAAAAAAATAATGCAAACAAACAAGTGAAATGAACTAAATTGCTGAGTTGCTTTTAATTCACTGGCAGGAGCGACAAGTGAGGAGGAGCAAAAAGTGAACAACGAGGGAGAGATTGAACAAAGAGAAAGAGTAGAGGACAGAGAGAGTAATGAACAGGAAGAAGACAGAGAGACTAAAGAAGATGGAAGAGAGGCTGCAGGTTATGGAAAGGAGAGAGACATGGAAAATGAATGTTGACAATGTGTTGTGATCATTTTAGCCTCTTCTGCATGTCCAGATCATTCATAGTAACAATCAACTGATTCTTATGCATTACACTTTCAAAAATAATGTATTCTGCAGCCCACTGACATGGTTTGAAATCAATATATTATCCAATTTGTGACCCCCCACAGGACTTAAAAAGCACCTATTTAGATCATGAAAATCCCAAAAATCTCAGGGGGGTATACCCCCGAACCCCCTTATCATGTTTGGACCTCGGTATTTAGGAAATCCTGGATACGGCCCTGTCTATATGTGACCCTGTACAGTGGCACTGCACTGGAGTCTGAGTGACTGTCCACTGATCAGTTCACATTCTTTTTATTCTGCATGGTTGGGGAAATCAAATCCTTGCAGAGGGTGTGTTTGGTTTCCTGCCAGGCTTGTTAGCTGTATATCAGCTGATCATGCTTCTGCTTGTGCTGAATGTCAGTCACCTGTCGATAAGAAGGAGATTTAGAGCATTGAACCGGTGGTATTTTGTATGCCTATCAACTGTTTTCATTGTGTTCTTCTCTTTATCCTCTCTGTTTCCCTGCATGGGACCCCCATACACTCTCTCTCAAGTTCTCTTTCCTCCCTTTTGATCTCATTTACAAATTCTTTTCTCATTTTGACACCAACTTATATGCTTGTATCCGAGCCGTTGGGATGGTTGCTTGCTTCTCTGTGGCTGCTGCAGGGTTCAGTGAATAATGATGATCAGGTACCTGTGAGACATACGGGAGGCAAACACTGCCAACATGCCAGGGTGTCACACTGCTCAAGAGGTATGGGGATTATAGTATTATGGGATAACACTGATGAGTTCTTTGGGTGCCAGTCATCTATATGTTGACCCTCTTTTATATGTTATTTATTTTAGAGTTAAAACAGGCATTACACTCGCCCAGTAGGCATTTATCTTTGTATTATACATGTTTAAATACATCTTTAGTGCCTATTCCATGTCATATTCTTATTGCAGAGTTATTGCAAGTTCACGATAAAAGTATATTTAAGAATAGTTTCTATAAGCTATAGAGACTATAATGTCTTCTCTAATAACTTAAAGGTGCCTTTTTGAGCTTTTCCTTTATGTTGAAATGTTTTAGGTAATGGGCCTACACAGTTTCACACTATTCCACTGACAGTTGGAGGCAGTCAAGCCCCCCCAAAGAAGCAATGTGCCAGGAAAGGCAAGAAAGAAGAAGAGAGAACGGCTGTAAACTCTGATTTGGAAACAGTTCAAGAGAACAGATCTTTGTTTGTTTGCAAAAACCTCCTTCACAGCGCACCTTTAATACAGAGGTGTGATTGTCTTTACAGATGTGAACAGATGTTAGGGACTCACACAGGTTAACACTGGCTTGCCTGAAAGACTTAATTAAAACATTATCGTCCGAGTTGATATTTATACCAAAGTATCAGTAAAAGTGATTTGAATTAAACAAATATTTCCAAAAATGTCATATGAGACTAGAAGGACTCAGGTGGTCCCGTTGCCTGAGAGGAGAAGCTGTGTTTCTGACTCAAGTGTCAATGAGCATCGTTGACACTCTAAGAAGATGTTTTGTGTTGTATTGTTTTAAGCACTTAAACATCACCAAGATAGCTGCCTCTC